AGTTGAGATAGCAACAGGACGTTTTTCAAGCTTCTTAGTTGTTTTCCGATGTCTGTATACGCCTATTAACGAATTTTTGGTTTACAGGGTGTTCCTTAATGATATATGAACATTTAAGGATGTGAATCTAGATGAGAAGTTAATGTTAGTTTGCTTTATAAACTATGATCCAAAAATGTTTCCTTATTAAAACTCGGGGTGTTGAAGTTTCATGGTAAAAATGGAAGTTAATTAATATTTTCAGAACCGCTTCAGATGTTTCACTGATGCTTAGTACGTAGTGAAAGTTAATATAGTTGCATATTTTTCAATGCAAAAATAATTTTTAGCTCTAACAGTGGCATGCGTACGGGTATTGACTTCGATATTGTTTTAGAAAAAAAATGGCGCGCCAATGGTTTTTTGCCAAATAAAAATTATTTTTGAATACCCCATTCAATTTAAAACAAATTATCTCTCTTGAATCGTTTTCTTTCGATGCACCATTTTTTAGTAAAAAAATAAAAACCGTTCAATTGTCCGAGAAAATTATTGCAATAAATATCTAGTTGCTCTGGAATATGTCACTGGCTTTTGACATCTGACAAGTCTCTGTTATTCAAATCGGTTCGCTGTGACATCTTTTTCATTATTTAGTTTTTACAATTTTGTTAATTCACCATTAAATTATTCAAGTGCAGAAATGGTGGAAATGCATTACGTGCATGGCCTTGTCGACGGTAATGGTGAGCAAGCCAGACGGATTTATCACCAGAGATATCCCGATCGTGCTTTACCGGATAGCCGAAGCTTTTCTAGTATCCATTTTCGTCTTGTTGAAACTGGTTCTGTACGAAAAGGAACATCTGAAGGTAGACCTCTAAGTATGAGAACACCTGAAATTGAGGAAGCAGTGCTGCATGAAGTCGAAGATCATCCTGAAACGAGTACGAGGAAGATCGCTAGACAGTTAAATATTTGCCGTCAAATTGTTTGGAGTACAGGCATTACTTACCATTGATTTTCCAAGGCGTGTGACCTTTTGTCAGTGGTACTTATCTTATAAAATTATCCAAAATCCGCAATTTGAATCACTGATTCTGTTCACGGACGAAGCTAATTTTTCTCGAAATGCCATTCAGAATTTCCACAATAATCATGTGATGATGTTCCGTTAGTAATAAGAAACAATATGTGGTACATGCATGATGGTGCACCACCGCATTTCAGTGTAGCAGTTCGTAATTATTTACAAACTGTTTATCCAAATTGGATTGGCCGCGGTGGGCCCCAAGAATAGCCACGCCACCAAGGCCCCCGACAGTTTAGATTTTTTTGTAGGGCTATCTTAAGACACTAGTGTACACAAGTCCCATTTACACTGTAGAGAAATTAAGAGAAAGAATAGTTGCAGCTTGTGATAGAATAAAAAACACTACAGGGATATTTCAACGAGTGCATAATTCCATGAGGAGGGCGGAAGCATGCATACTAAGTGAAGGGGGTCATTTTCAACAATTTTGTAATCATTTCGTTGGTTATGTTTATGTTGTCAGTTGTTGTTGTTCAATACCCCCAATGTGTTTAATTTTTCCAATTAAATTAATAATAATTTTGCAAGTTAGACAATAGACCGGTTCTTATTTTTTTCCTAAAAAATGGAGCATCGAAGGAAAACAATTCAAGAGAGATCATTTGTTTTAAATTGAATGGGAATTCAAAAATTTTCATTTGGCTAAAAACCATTGACGTACCATTTTTTTTCTTAAAAAATATAGAAGTCAATACCCGTACGCACGCCACTGTTAGAGCTAAAAATTATTTTTGCATTGAAATATGCAACTTTATTAACTTTCACTACGTACTAAATATCAGTGAAATATCTAAAGCGGTTCTGAAAATATTAATTAATTTCCATTTTTTTCCTAAGACTTCAACATCCCGAGTTTTTGTAAGGAAACATTTTTGGACCATAGTTTATAAAGCAAACTAACATTAATTTTTCATGTAGATTCACACCCTTAAATAGTCGCATATCATTAAGGAACAGCCTGAGATATCGGATGATGAAACCGGATTATTAGCTAGGATTTTCACAACTAACTTCGCCTTTGATACCAGGCAGCAGATATAGAATTTTTATCTACCAGTGTTATTAGAAAATGTCAATATCTGTCCTTCAATGATATTCAACCAGGTTGGGTCACAATCTATAGACGAACTGAAATAAACAATTGTTTAGTTTAACTTTATTTAGACTGATTGCTTTTCCTTCCTTTTGTAACTGTTATCCTTTTTGTGGAATATTTCTCATTTTATCCTATGTGTCCCGTATACGCTCACTGAGTGCTGAGTTTGGAGCTTCCCCCTTTGTTATACAGCCTTTATGTTATTTAATTCTACATTTAATTGGTCTCGATGGGCCGCCAATCTAGCATTACAGCAATCACAGTCCATGTTATATTTTTAATTTATTGAGTATACTATAGGCCAAAGAGTCGCAGTGGAGGATCTTTATTGATGCACTCACAAGAAACCTAACCATACTATGTGTATAAAATAGGTTTTGTTTTATGATTTGTCTCTCAAAAGGACGACCGAGATGACCGACACGTCATAAAAACATGGATAATTACCTGCATGAAAATCGCAGGATAAGTTTCAGATTAATGGGTAATACTACTGTACCGTCCCAAAAAGTGTTTTTTGTAATTTTTTGTAGAAGACAAGGTAATAAAATCATAATATTAACGAAAATTCCGTTTTTAATGTATAAAGCCTAATTTATTGCTCTTATACTAATGTATGAGAAATTTATAACCAAGTCGACTGGACTATCCCATTCCGCATCGTTCTGTTCGTTGACTGCGTCCGCCATGTGGTGGGGTACTTCAACCTACAAATTCCAGAAGCCCTTCAGACCTTCAGAGCGAGTGGGAACCTTGATCGACGTTATCTAGATGGCAGTAAATTCATCTCTATGGCGGTAGATGCCGATGTGTGTCGACCGCTACCGATGCCGCCACACGTATTCTGGCTGCATAATTGATTGCCTAAGCGTCGACGTTACGAAGGTGACTCATTCTTCTAGTTACGAGGGAGTTACAATATAGAAGAAGGTTATTGAGCATATCGCTCATTGAATGCAGAACTAGCTCAAGTCACAAAATGCAAATTTTACAGGAGATCATTTTTTCTGATTTTGTCTTAAACTTCTTGCAAGGCTTGAATGAAAATGTATTCATAATATGAGTATACTTGCATGTGTTTTGCTCTTTCGAGGTTTTTTTTATTTAGGCTTACAAAGCCGAAATTTATGGACTTAGGATACTCGTCCTCGTGGAAGTTGTATCCTATATCCACATAGGATAAGGTGTAGTCGTAATATAAGTAACATAGGCTAGTTCTGACCCATGTTTATATCTATATATGTACATTCAGCTTATTCAGTACAAAAATAGAAACGGGAATACGTTGAAAACATTTATTGACAACTAAGCAGTCTTATTATACAGGTACATAATATTATAATTAACTAGCAAAACATAAACGAGGCATTCAGGCAAACGATGCACAGTGCTCAAAATAATAACAGGAAATAAAAATTATAATTCAGTATCCCCACCAGATCAACTATTGCTACCTGATATATAAAAAAGTGGTAGTATTAAGAAACTTTTTGTAACAGAAAAATGATGAACTTCTATTCTGAGTCGTCATCCCTACTTATGTCGGAATACTGTAAGTTCTTGTAGAAACTGCGGTACCGAGTAGGTATAATCCCATTGTCACATAGGAGTTGCAGATGATCATACATTTTTTTGCTGATCGTGATAGCAGCCTTGTAACATTGCTTTAACTGTATATTTTTTAGATCAACATCAATTGTCCTCCTGCCTTTTGTTAATAAATCAATTGTTCTGAACGGTTCATTGTAGTCGTATTTGAATAAAATTTTATTTGGAAATCTGAAGGTTGCCTCTAAAATTCGTATTTTATTTATAGAAACCTTCTCATTTTCCACATCACCATCCCAATTCAAAATGGTATCCTTGGCAAGCGCTTTCAAATCAAAAAAATCCTCTTTGTCCATCTCAGTTACTACATACGGTTTACTTCTTTTTGCCGTTCGTACTAAAGTATACCATTGATCAGGGGTAAATAAAGGGATAAGCTTAGATGCTCGTTCAATTACACTATGCATAGAATCCCCTTCGGTTTGCGTATGACCTTTCTCCAAAAATGCATGCCTTATCACAATATTGTGCTTCTGTGGTAATAAGCTATACGTACTAAAAACATATTTGTTTCGATTTTGTCCTGCGCAATTGTCGGAATAGAAAGAAAATTCTCTCGTACCTTGATGTACTTTGAGGTCGATAAAGCGCATCAAACAGCTGCCTATTTCTGAGCTTCCCCTTTTTCCAACAGACTCGTACCACATGTATCAATGTCCTTCAGAATTTCCCAAGTTAAAAATCGTGAAATTGTATGTTGATAATTTAAGTTTGTAATATGCCATACCAACATTACTTTTGGGGAGATGCAGTATTTGTTCCAAATCAAAAACGGCTGCACAAAATTCTCTATTTTGCTTAGCCGTTTGTTTATCAGCATTCTTTAAATCCCGTCCAATGTCCTTGTTCTTTCTGTGCAACTGGTATTCTTCTTCCATTTCAGTTCTTTCTTCTGTTGTTCCGCCATCATACTTGTTGCAAATATCACACAAATCTTTTTTAGGGATGAAAAATGAGAAGTTGAATTCGGTGTCGAAGATTATTCTGTAAATGCTTTCTGTCGCAGGTCGGATGTTGTTCTGCTCACAATATTCAAGATAAAGGCCATACATCTTCGAAATATTAAGCGTTGGTGGCAGAAATTGCTTTGAAGTGTTTTTTCGGCAGTAGTGACTCTCGACTGTTTCGAATAGATTAATGTGGTCCCTCACTGACTGCTTTATTGAATTCAATTTAGAATTCTTGCATGCTTTACCACGCCGATCTGCCCCGACTGTACCGGTGCTACCCATTTTTTTGAACACTGTGCAGCTTCTTTATTTCATTTCTTCTCCATTCACCCGGATTCCTCTGTCTCTTCCGTGTATTTTTTTTGGTTTTCATCGGCTCATTTTTATCATCATGTTCTGATGAGTTTTCGATATCATCTGGATCTCTACTGTGAGTTGAGTTTTTCCTTAATGTTGGTATATACTCCATGTCATTGCTATCATCACTGGTGGCAAACGGGTCACTCTCACATTCAGAAAGCATAAAATCATCCTCTATAGTATTTGAGGGTTTTGACGTGAAGTCAGTATTTTGTAGAACAGCTTTCTCATATGTATCTCCACCGTTCACCTACAGCGGGATTAATGATCTTAAGGATTTCATTGGATGGAAATTCCTCAATGGTTACAGAGTTCTTTTGTAAGATGTAAGTTGAACTTTCCCAAGGCATCAAAAAAAGAGGAGGCTGTTGGGTGATACTGTCCTGCATCAGTTGAGCTATGCTTCTTGCCGTTGAAGGTATTTTGGGAACATTATCAGCTTGGTTGTTCGAAGTTGTTGATCCCCCATCATCTTCTTGTACATATTCTAGAATCAAATTGGACTTTGTAAATTAACAGAAAGGCAACACGAACGAATGTGGGAAAATTCACCTACAGAAAATAATAGTCGGGTTAATAATTGTTTAGCTACAATCCTATAACCCAATCAGTTTTCCCTTCTTATTCCTCTTCGAGTCACCCTCAAATCGTCTTTTAGTAGATTATAACTTTATAGTTTATACAGTATCGAAGTCTAATGTCACTTACCTTCTGTAATAGCCTCTCCAATTTTTTGTTTGGCACTCGGAGTAAATGATGTAGATGAGCTCCTTTTCTCTTGATGTTGTATGCCTACAAATCATACCCATACATAATTCGGAAATTATTAAAACTTAATTTATTGTCTCACCAGCCTTCGGGGTGCCTTCTGATTTTTTCGGGGCCACCAATTATATCATTTTTAGAGTTCTAGAATTCATTGTGACCGCGATATACAAAATAATATCGCTACTTTTAAGGATGTTTTACCGTATTGCAGAAGTATTCTATGTCGACAGCTACTATGTACTTGGTATACAAATTCTAATACAGAACTAGCCTATGTCCATACAAAGCACATACTTAGCATACGCAACCGCCAAGGGATTCTTCTACACTGAATCTCGGAACCAGAGATAAACCCTTCTAACGGGTCGCAAGTTGGGATATTTGCATAATAGACGCGGTAGAGGGGATAACGTGTTGATATTATAGGCTAGTTCTGCACCCAAATCCGGCATGCGCCGTAGCATCCCATGGTGTTGTTAATGCAAATTCGGCAAAAATGGACTTGAGCTAGTTCTGCATTCAATGAGCGATCTAAATAACAAAAAATATCATAAAAAATGGCGGCAATACAGGCAATTTCGCTAGGCACATAGAATTTAAAATTGTAAATGTCTATAGCTAAATGAATATTTGGGAGTTTCAAAACTATAGATTTTTGTGTGATTAGCGGATATTTGAATTGAAACGTTCAATTTTCGATAAAAAACTGTTAATAAATAATGATTATGGAACGTCTCCTAAGCTTTTCTCTTTAAAATGTAATTTTAAAATAATCTGTTAGTGTGGTTTAGTATATAAAGATCAAAAAGTAAGGCACTATGCTATACCTTCCCAGCAGGTATTTTTCTGACGCACGTGTCTTTTTGAAGCAGTCCGATGCCCTTTCGGGCATGAAATATTTTCCTCGTATCCTAAAAGGCTTAAAGTATTTTTAAGCCAATAGAAAAAAATCGATTTTTCGAATAATTTACGGTTATGTTGCCCCTGTACGCTGTGTATAACGGCGCCTACTGCGGAGAGTGCGATACTTGGCCTGCGGAACCCCTGCTGATGCCTTGTTGCAGATGTCAGATGAAGGGACGGGTGTGATTCCGAGTTTGTTTGCCTAGAAGGCCCATACATTCGCGGAAAGCGGACACACATTAAGTACGCCTGGGAGATGACATGTGTACCCAAGGACCTATACGACCACTTACGGCCATTATGACACCCTTTCTGCTACTGATGTAGCTGCTACATCTCCATCATCATTATATCGCTATACGAGGGGCGTTTTCTATGATTTTATAGTATATTTGGACAAATATTTTGTCGCAGATTTAGAGGCGGCACCCACCTCCCTACTAGTCGCCCAAGATTTTTTTCCGAGAAGATGGTATATATTGTTGTATGTTGGTGTAAAAATTACTGTGCAAGGCCTCATCGTGAGACGTACGACCTCCATCCCCGTATCCCCCTGCTCTTCAATATTTAATTGCCGATCCTCCCTCCTTCCGGTATGAACATTTTCCTTAATAGGACCGCCGCTGAACCCTCTAGACAGATTCCCAAATCTGCCCTTGCTCAGATTTAAACATGGACAACACTTTTAAGCTAAGAAAAGACATTGTTTATAAAGGTAGCTGCTGCCTACAAATGTTACTCTCAGGGACAAGTCAGCAATGTTTTTCAAGAAATTGGTATATATTGCTGTGTCTTACTTTTCTAATAATAGCATTCCATATTCAGTTATTTCAAATTGATATTTTACATCATGTTTTATTTCCGTACATAACAAATTCATTAGAAACTCCCCGGTATAACAATAAACAAGTTTTACTAGAATATTTGTAATCAAGCGCGGTAAAAATTCAAATTTTGTACCAGCCATTTTGTTATATACTATAAATCTATGGGCTTGACCGATATCACGATGGCTTCGTCGTCTTTAACGTTCATTTTAGTAGGGACGATATAGTATTGCCACATAGTCTATAAGGCTTGGGTGACACCCAGGAAACAGGAAGTGGTTTGGCTTCCTGTGAAAAAGCAAAACGATTTTGGTAAATTGCTTCAAAAAATTCTTTGAGGTCAAACGATGTTTTTTAGTTCTTTATTAACCATTTCGACACACTTTGTACAAATACGGAAGTGATAACGACGTTTCGGAACGAGAGGATTCAAGAGTGGTAGGTTACTAGAATATGAGTTTCGACGCCTTTCTACCACTCCTGAACTCACTGCTTGTGGGGCGTCGTTGTCACATCCTAAATTTTTCAGGACCTTTTGGATACACCGCGCGATTATTTTTGCGAGCGCCTGTACGTCATATGAACTTTGTATTTGGTCTTTTATACGACATACTATGACGTCATATAATGACGTCAATTGGGTGTGAAATTAGACCGTCATAATGACGTCATTTTTGTTGGTCAACGTGCGTCAGTCGACATTATGACGTCACTATGTTCACTAAGCAGCATGAGAGTATCTGTCGTTTTATAATGTACCAGACAAGTCACCCTCGTCCATCGCCCCGAAAACGCCAAAAGCCCTGCAAAAAAAACCCTAAACCCCACTCAGAACTGTTGTAACATTCAACTAAACTGGGCCTCAGTCCATAGAACTAGAAAACCAATTGTTGTTTAATTTTATAAAGGACCTCAAAATGGCGGATTCAGGCTGCTTTAGTCCCTCCCTCTCCCGCCACTGTCAAAATACTGCTAGTGTTAATTTCCATCAACATCATGAGCGATTAAAAAAAATTTCCTAATTTGGAAACACCTCCACTGTTTATCTTACTGATGAAATCACACTTCTTTTCTCTCTACCCGTAAATCTTATCTGGTGACAATTTGATTGTACAGTTCCTCAAGAAAAATAATGATCGCGTAAAAAAACAATTTATGGGAACGAATAAAAAATGCTAACAATTTAATTATAGTATTTATCAAGTAAAAAAGCTAGTTATTACAGAGTAAATATATTAAAATATCATTTCCAATTAACATCAGTATCACTACTAAAAATCGCAGAAAATTAAAGCCATCAGAAACAATACGATTAAATAAAATAATATTCCATAATTTATTTCTAGATAAAGCAGAAAACATGAATACAATTCAATAAACTGAGATTAAAATTCATCTTTAAGAAGAATTTTAAAGTTGATAGGTAAAGTGCATTTTGCAGGATCAGTAATTTGGTGAACAAAAAAGATGCTTAGTTCCCTTTTCACGTCTTCTTCACGATCATTTTCACCAAGCGATGTTCCTTGCCAGCTTCGGAGTTACTAAAGTCGTCCAAAATCTGCAAAGATAATCCTAATTTTTATATTCAAGTAGATAAAGTAGATAAAGTAAAAAATGGCGTCATATTTGACTTTATAAAAGTATGTACTTGACATCTTTTTTTTTCAAAAAAAATGTTCATAGTTTTTTCTTCTTTTCCTTAGTAAGCTTAAATCAAATTTTTATCAAATCCCAAGTGACACAATCCAAGTTATAGAGGGATGAAGTATTAGCGGATAGGCGACTTACTAACAGAGAATGACTTACTTGGTTTTTTTGACATCTACGTAAGATCCGAATTAGAAACGATATTCACCCATCTGTTTAATGGCTGAAAAATGCTTTGTATCAAATTTAGTATGATAAAATTACGTCACGAATCGGTTGGCGCGAATATGATTGATTAGAAATTAAAAAATTTGTTTTTATTAAAGAATAATAATATTGTAACACCCTGTATAGTGCGGTATGCGGCATTTTGTTGATTACCAAAATACGCAACTTTTTCCTCCTTTAAGCGACTTCGAACATCTTAGAGTTTACGTGATTCCAATGGTGAGGGTGGAATTTGAAACACCCTGTATAAAAAATGATATGGTAAGTTTCGCAACCTCGAGTATTTCTGATAGACGAAAGACACGGAATTTTCTCAAAATCGTGTTTATTTTAACCTCGCCAGGAATTTTTTAGCCAACCCATACGCGATATATTTTTCAACACACTAAATTTGATATAAAATACTTTTCATCCATTAAACAGGTGGGTGAAGGTCGTATATAATTCGGACCTACTAAATATAAAGATATCCACACAATATGTTTTTTGTGTGTAGTGAGTCTCAGAAAAGTGCTATTGAGTAAGGTTGTATTTTTTAAATGGAACACTTTGTATATTTTTAGTGAAAATAATAGTGCCTTAAATGTTGCGTGTTATTTAATGATATGTATCCGGCCGTATACCTGATTGCATATACGGCAATGCGTCTAGATGCAAACTGCCTTGAACTCTGATACACACGGTTAAATAATTTTTACTTACCACTTCTACTACTTACTGGCGAGGAAGTATTGTAATCTCAAAAAAAAATCAAAAATGAGATATTATGTTTTTTGAATGTTATATGATAAATCAAGCTTCGTTTTTTGACGATACAAAAGCTCCTGTCATTTTCAGAAAAAAAATTGTAGCTGTTAAAAATTGGGGGTTGTGAGGGAAAATTTTTTGAAGTTAGTATATTTATATGCTCCAAACCCCGGTATTTCTACACACTTTTCTCAGAGGATCTAACTTGTGCTGAACATAATCCTTTATGAAGTGATGACGGTATTGCGTGAGAAGTGCAGAGTCAACCTACTTGACGTCATTTGTTGACTAAAGTAATAGAAATAAGTGTCATCATCATCTATTTGGAATCAGAAAAAAGTGAATATTTCTTTAAAAATATACAGCATTTTTCTGAGACCCTGTATACAAAAAATCTCACATTAGACCCAATAACTTTGGTATATAATTTTTTTCTAAACTGCCGAACAAAAAAATAGAGGGGGTCAATGGAGAGTGGGTCACGTGACGCCTATTTTTTTTACCACGGCAACGGCCTAGGCGAAAGCCTAAATACCAGACTGACTGAATACCTTTCACGCATTCGCGCTTCTTATACCAAACATTTTTTATTTGTGTTTCAATAATATGAAAAACCATTTCTAATACTTACACTATAAGATAATTCTTTCTTGAGTATGGACGTGGTCTGTTCGTTATTTGCACAACATGCCAACAATGTGGGATACAGTACGTAAGAGAGTGATTCTACGGAAAAATACGGGAACGGCAGGGAACACAATTGTTGTAGCACTGATGGTGGTTGCCCACTGATAAGTAGCATCTGAAAACAAACATTTTTGATAATTTTATAGCTATCCCAGGACTGCAGTCAATATACAGAACCAAGTATGCTGACGATCATAATTGTCACCAACTTTCGAGTCATTTTTTAGTGCAAGATTCCTTTGTAGTGGATGTGACAAGCAGAGGTATATGCCCCCCTCCTGGCTTCTTCAAGAGGAGTAAAATATTCTTGAAGAGTACCCAGTTTTTGAGTAATGAGTTGCGTTTGTGTTTTTTACTCCTCAAAACATAGACATCACTTTTTCTCTCACTGCTGTAAACAGCTAACAAATCTGCTTCAATCTGGTTAGATGATGGTTCAAGCCTAACCTGTCCACTTTTAATTTTGCAATTTGGGTTCTCATAACAACGGATAATGGAGTCAAGAAGACGGACTCGGTACTACCTACGATGGTCCAAGGCATTTGATTGATAAACTTCGTTCAGTTGTTATGTTCTTCGGGTGACCTTGGATTATAGTTTACTATAGTTTAGTAATGATGTGTGATAAGATGTAAACGGCATAAAGAACGTTTTCAATAGGAGACAATATGTTGAATATAAAGGACGCCGTTCACCACTCCTTTTCAGGAATCCTCAATGCTCGATTCTTCTTTCTTTTATATACAGGGTGTTCCTTAATGATATGCGAATATTTAAGGGTGTGAATCTACATGAAAAATTAATGTTAGTTTGCTTTATAAACTATGGTGAAAAAATGTTTCCTTACAAAAACTCGGGGTGTTGAAGTTTTAGGAAAAAATGGAAATTAATTAATATTTTCAGAACCGCTTCAGATATTTCACGGATATTTAGTACGTAGTGATAGTTAATAAAGTTACATATTTTTCAATGCAACAATAATTTTTAGCTTTAACAGTGGCGTGCGTACGGGTACTGACTTCGATATTTTTTTAAGAAAAAAATGGTACGCCAATGGTTTTTGCCAAATAAAATTATTTTTGAATTCCCCGTTCAATTTAAAACAAATGATCTCTCTTGAATTGTTTTCCTTCGATGCGACATTTTTGAGTAAAAAAATAAAAACCGTAATATTGTCAAAATTATTATTAATTTAATTGGAAAAATTAAACACATTAGGGGTAATAAAAAACAACAACTGACAACATAAACAACATTAAATCCGAAATAGTTGAAAACGGCCCACTTCACTTAGTATGCATGCCTCCGCCCTCCTCATGGAATAGGGATTTTCTTCTGCCCACAAATGATTATTGTGGAAATTCTGAATGGCACTTCGAGAAAAATTAGCTTCGTCCGTGAACAGAATCATTGATTCAAATTGCGGATTTTGTGTAATTTTTTACCACTGACAAAAGGTCACACGCCCTGGAAAATCAATGGGAAGTAATGCCTGTACTCTTAAAATATGGTAAGGATATAACAAAAAAATCCACTAAAATTCTCCAAACAATTTGATGGCAAATATTTAAGTGTCTAGCGATCTTCCTCGTACTCGTTTCAGGATGTTCTGCGACTTCGTGCAGCACTGCTTCCTCAATTTCAGGTGTTTTCACACTTAGAGGTCGATCTTCAGATGTTCCTTTTCGGACAGAACCAGTTTCAACAAGACGACGATGAATATTAGAAAAGGTTCGACTATATGGCAAAGCACGATCGGGATATCTCTGGTGATAAATCCGTCTGGCTTGCTCACCATTACCGTCGGCAAGGCCATACACGTAATGCATTTCCGCCATTTCTGCATTTGAATAATTCACATTTATTATCAAGATTGTAAAAACTAAATAATGAAAAAGATATCACAGTGAACAGATTTGAATAACAGAGACTTGTCAGATGTCAAAAGCCAGTGACATATTCCAGAGCAACTAGTTATTTATTGCTAAATTGCATTCTTCAATTATTAATTACATTAATTTTCTCGGACAATAGAACGGTTTTTATTTTTTTACTCAAAAATGGCGCATTGAAGGAAAACAATTCAAGAAAGATCATTTGTTTTAAATTGAACGGGGAATTCAAAAATAATTTTTATTGGGCAAAAAATCATAGGCGTACCATTTTTTTCTTAAAAAATATCGAAGTCAATACCCGTACGCACGCCACTGTTAAAGCTAAAAATTGTTTTTGTATTAAAAAATATGCAACTTTATTAACTTTCACTACGTACTAGCACCCCGAGTTTTTTTAAGGGAAACATTTTTGCACCACAGTTTATAAAGCAAACTAACATTAATTTTTCATGTAGATTCACACCCTTAAATATTCGCATATCATTAAGGAACACTCTGTATAACGGAGAAAATAAACTAAAAAGAAATGAGTTTGTCTATCTCGTATATGACAGTGGATGATAAAAGCGATGACAAAGGCGCTGAAGTATCACCTGATTTTCGAAGTTCTCTGCAGCGAAATATCCCACGACTATAATCACTTGGTGCAAAAGCTCCTGGTAAGCTGCTGCAATGATTGCATCTTCCTTGTCGTGGCTTTTAGGAATAGTTGGTGATGCGCAGCACCAGAGCAGATGACTACAAATGTGTCGGAATTGAAGCGAAATTCCTTCAGCACCAAGGACAATCTGAAACAAATGACCTTAGATGTAGACCGCAAATTAAAAAGTTCGATGGAAAAATTTAATACTTGTGTTTCGATGCGCTCAAAACGATATTACAAGTGTTGGAGACTATAAGGTTGGCAAGCTAGATAAACGGTGGGGTTTCTAAAAATTGCTCCCACAAGACGCCGGTAATTTTGAACTTTTCGAAAATAGAATGAAAGGTTATTTGCAAAAATGAGTATCAGCTTTTATTCTACGTTCCGATCCCTACAAGTATCGATAATTAACTTAGTGTTCGTAGATAAGACTGATGAACGCCGAAAAGATTCACCCACATTTTCTCCTCCTATTTATACTAAACTGGGGGTTATGGTCTAGGAACTTATCTTCGTATGCGCTGTGAAAAATATTCAGATTCGTTTTTTTGCAAAGTATTATGCAAAAAGGACTCCTCTTAATGAATCTGCATGTTGTCAGACTCAAAACTGCGTAAAAATTAAACACTTTGTAAACAAATTCCAAAATTTTTTATTCGCTCCGGACGACGTTTTTTAGGAATATATGTACATTGAGCGCGCTTGATTTAACAATCAAAAACAATTTTTTACGATAACAGTACCCCTAGATTATGGAAGGGATGTTTGAAGAATATTTAACAGATTAAGATTTCCGTTTGTTTTTCTATATCATTTTTCGGGTCGAAAATGGCACTTTTTCAACTATTTGATTGATTCTATCTCAAAAACTTTAGAAGTCCCAAAACAATTTCTGGCACGATTTTGAGCCTGGCAACATGTAAGATTGTTTTATGTTATTGACTTGTTTTGTGCGTGTTTTTAACATATTTTAATTGTAATTGAGTGATTAACAATTACTGGAAAATCTTAAATCCAGTTGTCTGACTGAACTACCGTTGCACAGCAGCATAAAACACAGGCATTACTATAGCCCAAACTTTTGATAAGCACTTTTTTCAACACAAATCCACAAGTAATAATTTGCACCTAAAAACACCAGAATAATTCTTGTCCACTACAATTTTCGGTTATGATGACCTTTCATCTGTCAAATCCGTTCATCATCTATACAGTTCACCGAGTAATCCCCTTCCACTTTCTATTATTTATTTCACTTTCTTATGAAACGTGAAAACATTTTACATTGTTTTTTATTTCCAGTCATTTAAATTTTATAGAAATTTATTTTGCGATGTCAAGTAAAAAATACAAATCAGCGCCCAAATGTGAGCCACTGCGAAAATGTTTCGTGTGTGATGCGTCATTCTTAATTTTTCTGTGATGTGGTTTAATTTTGGATTTCCTGTAGTGCTTCTCAAAGTTTTGAAAATACAAAAAATGTGAAAAATCTGAATGTATCACTTTGTCCACAACCTGTCCTCAGAAAGAACAACACAAATATCCCGTCTCGTACAGCTAATAGATATACATCATGGGCAGCATATTCAGTAATTTTCTCATATAGCAAATATGATTTTATAAACATGCAGACCAATCCACTCAATCACCATACAATCATCCACATGCGGTCTTGCTACTTTGCTACTCAACCGTTTTTCTATGTCACATCCTGACAGAGATCTCTACAGACTTTCTTGATATTCTGCAACCAACAAAGCATGCTGGTGAACTGACTTGCAGCTGGCCAATGAGCGTGTCGTTGAGTCATTCCTGCACAGATGACTCAAGTTAATATTTTGTCGTTTTTTATAGGTTAGAATCCCCTCCCACTTTCTATTAGTTATTTCACTCCCTTGTTTTCGAATACTGCCTGGCCAGTCGGTACCAGTACAACAGCTCCATTACCCCACCATCATTTTAACCATCACCTTCGTGATGTTTCGCTATAAAAAACTGAAGGTATCCATCGTGCCGCAAGACGAAATGATGAGGTGCTCCCGAAGGGAGGCAATTAAATTCGTTGCTACCCACGTTTCACGCAGTCGACTGCGGGACCTAGGGCAGCGTGGAGTTGACATTGCCCGACCCCTTCAGCAAACTTCAAATCCAACTCCGATGTCAGCCAGCCCGGCTCCCATTTAATTTCACAGCGCACAAGTATCTCTCTATCTCTGCAATCAACGTTGTCGGCGCATAATAGGCAATAACGACGAAAACAAACATGTCTCAGTTCAGCCGCTAGTACAGTCGCACTGCTGTCAGATGGGAATCATAAATATGCGAAGCTAACAAACCACTACGTGCAGGAAATAATCTCGTTTATCATTTCTGCCGTACCCAGCGCGCAACACTGGATATTCGAAAAAAGCAATCCAAATTGTTAAACCGTTGCTAGGCAAGTGTCCTTTAAATTATGCTAATCAGCATATAAAATAGCTATAGATGCACATATTGGCAATAATATTTTATAGTCGTGTCTCACACCTGAAGTAATAAGTGACACTATAATTTGAGAAATGTCACAGTGACAATATTCATTATTAAAGCGTTTTCTTTTGGTAAAAAAGTATTACAATGGTGCATAACTTACGTTCTTCTGACAAAATCACTGTATATATTCATGCCCTTTTGGTCCGTCCTTTGAACTAGTTTTGCACTCATTGCAGATATCGCACGACCTAAAGAAGCTCGTGCTAGTGCTGTTAACTGTCAACAGTATCACATTTTACAGCTTTTACTTGTGGCTTTATATGCACCTATTTGTACAGCCAGTTATCTCATGGTTTTATCTCCTCTTATTCAAAAATTTACCGTGACAGCAAGCGAAAGGTCAATAAAACGAAAGAATAATGATTCAATGATAGATGATAGCACGAGACATGTAATGATAGAAGTATTACGTTTTTTGCAAATTTAGGATGAACTAGATTTGAAACTTGCACAGCTTAATAAAAAAAACAGTATTAGATAGATAAATATGCTTTATTATCTGAAGAATATAATCATTCCTGATGACAAAGCTAACTTTAAACTATATCATTATATAAGTGGATCTTAAGTAGGTGAATTGTAGAACTCACACAAGATATAATATGGTTTACATATTAAAAGTTTTCAAGTTCACGGCGGAATATCTTTAAATTGTTAATTGCTTTGATAGCATCAGGGGGAGACATTATAAATTATTGAGTGTTCCACAAGTGTTGTTTTAGGCACTACTAATTTGAGATCTTGTTTTCGTTTAATATTGTAACTTATATTTAATGTTTCAAATTCATATTTATTTCTAAAAGAGTTGCTCTTTCTCAAATGAACAATGATACAAAGATTGTCTCAAGAAGGCTGGCAAGTAGCTCTAGGATTGCTTTCAGGTATACATTTAATAGTTTGCTTTTATAGAATAAGCACCTTTTTTAAACAATTTTGGGAACTGACACAATGTCAATCTACTTTCAAATAAGGCACAGTAACTGCTTAAGGATGTGCTTTTTTTATACTCCAACTGCCACGAAGGCCTAAAGCCTAAGCACCCATTCGGTACCGTGGAGCTATAGGCGGATACAGGGGAAAGGGGGAACGCCACACGGCCTCTGGCGAGGGAACACGTGTGCATGCAACATGCACACATTCTGGCTCCGCCTACGAGATCCGCCGGGTGGTACCCCCGCGTTCGACAGTCAGAGACCGTCTACCACCTACGGACAATCACAACATCCATAAACAAGAGAAAAATTTCTCCTGGGACGGGATTCGAACCCGCACAGCGCATGACGACTGATCAGGAGACCGAAGAATCTACTACTGCGGCCACCGCTGTTGCCGTACGTTGTAACTATTTGGTCTTATAATGAAGGAAATCTTTGCTAGTTGAGTTAGTAATTTGTCTAAATGATTCATAAAATCTAATTTATAATCAATGGTCAGTCCCAAAAATTTGGTGGTGTCTGTTTTATATATCAATACATTATTTAAATATATAAAATCATGGGAAATCATCATTAACATTGAAAATCAGGAATTGTTGTCACACCATTTTTTGATTGATTGTATATCACTATCAATTTTTGTCTTAATAATTCTTTCGTCGCTACTATGCTGCCAGAAATCCGATTTTCAAGTGAATTATCTCGTGGTGGCATCAATTTTGCACATAAAGACAAAAACGCTAGGTCCCACCGAGATTTGAACTCGGATCGCTGGATTCAGAGTCCAGAGTGCTAACCATTACACCATGGAACCTTGTTGGTATCTTAGACTCTCGTTTTTTTGTTTTAGCATGCAAATATTTATTGCAATTATCTTCCGTTCTTTCGGTGTCGTAAACTATATCAGTCTTGAATGATAAGGTTCCCTATCGCGGTAATGTTTTTATAAAATCGCAAGTCTGGACAAAATCCTGTGTATGCAACAAAAACTCAAGGAAGATTACTTATTTTTTCATATTTCTGGATAACTTTGATAGTAGCCTATTTTTCCAGGTAAGGTGTTTCCTAAAAAGTTCAAGGTTAGGTATTTACTAACTTTGAACAAAGAATTCAATGGTAACCTTGGAAAAGACCTTGAATCTCACCTTTAAGATTATTTCAAGGTAAGTTTTTGTTTTTTAGTTGAAAATTGTCCTTCTTGACACCCGCAATCAAAATAAGCGAATATTCTACAACCGAATTTGTATTAAAATCTAAGATCACGGTCACCTCCAAAGGTCAAAAGTCATAAAAGTATATGACAGTATATCGGAAACTGCATAGTTTTATCAAAATAAAACGGTATTAGAAATCTTTGGTCACTACTAAGTTGCCACAGATCCGATTTTCAAGTGAATTATCTCGTGGTGACATCAACTTTGCATATTCAAAAAAGCTAGGTCCCACCGAGATTTGAACTCGGATCGCTGGATTCAGAGTCCAGAGTGCTAACCATTACACCATGGAACCTTGTTGGTATCTTTGGCTCTCATTTTCATGTTTTATAATGCAAATGGTCATTGCAATTATCTTCCGTAGTCTTGGATGATAAGCATAATGGGCTTCATTATCAGGAAATGTAGGGATTTCAATAATGTGTATACCATGATCTCGTTACATAATTCATATGTTCGATCCAAAATTGAATATAGTATGGTATCCTGTTCATGAAGTTGTGAAATATTTGAGGCGCAAGGAAGATGGCACGTATCCAGAAGTTGGCTTCAGGCCAGGCAAGATGTATTAGCAGATATAACCTCTGTAACTTGGAGAAACTACGCTGCTTGTGTATTTTTATATAAAATGCTTAATAATGCCATAGATTGTGAATATTTACTCGGTAAGAATCTTATCCATGTACTTTCTGAATAGTTGTAGAGTCAAATATGAGCTCCGTGATCTGATTTTCATAATAAGAAACTCTAGTAATTCTGCAGATATTTACTATTAATCGGTGTGAGTGGAAGCGAAACCAATTTTTTAAGTTTAAAAGAGTTTCTATGTCATTCTGTAAAAACTGCGTCAAAACAACGAAGTTATGTTTATGTGTATGATGATTTTCCAATACTGCTTTCTAGTCAAATTAAAATAAAACTTATTCTATTCTATTCAAAGTTAGTAACGACCTGACCTTCGTCTTTTTCAAAAATACCTTACTTGAAAAAATACGAGCCCTTCTGTTACTTTTGTTACATCAATCTAAGATAACTGGACCATAGACTAACGCACTTCGCGTAGCGCAGCTTTAGCATCCAGATCCACTGAGTGCCGGCCTCTAGGGATGGCCGCTACCACTCCTGTTGTGGACCGTTCTCTACAAAGCTAATTTTCAATAGGGAGAGAACCGGGATCCAATTAAAAGACAACAGATCGTCGTTAACCGAGGCCGCAGTAGTTACCGCGAAATCGCGAACCACTGTAAACAAACCGTCGCTCGTCGCCACCGCAGATTGTGCAAATACATCACAGGAACGCAACGCCAGAATTCGCACACGCTACAAGCAGCATGAGATAATACAGAGAGAAGCTTGATTGAGTTTTTACTTCCCACACCACTGGCGAGGAAGTATATACCGGTCGAATTTGGGCATGAAATCTTGCTAAACCCCCATGCTTGTCTAGTCAATAAAACCACATGTATTGACAGATTCTTCTTTACTGCAACTGTGTACAGGGTGTCCCATTTTCGATGATATAACGGGGTATCTCCTTTACTAGTTAAGATAAGAAAGTTGCGGCTCCTGTAGATAAATAGAGAATTTTAATTTTTCAGACTTCATCCCTTAAGCAGTGTTAAGCAATCTTCTTGTACTAGTACTACATGCATGGGGTGTTTGGCTATAAATTGAACCCTTATAACGGTTGTATATGACCTTCCAGAAGGAAAAGTTGTATACAAAAGTTATACATATAGTATCAGGTTTTTCCTGTAATATTTTTTTTGTGTCCCAGAAAAGTGCTCTAAATTCTTGTAGTAGAGTAATCTCTACACTGATAAAATTACATTTTTAATAACTAAATCAGATAATTCACATCCATTTTTCAACGATAATGCACTTTATGTTCTTTTTTCCGCTCGGGTGTTGGAAAGAATGTATTTGGAATTCGTAGATTGAAGAGAATTCATTTAAATCTTTTACATTCCTCGTTAAAGAAATCAGCGATATGATATTATATTATAATATTAATTCATATAATCAACGGCAGATCATAGAAGTTATTTTCAAGGCATAATTAGGGTCACATTATAAGAACAGGATGTGTCGTCAGAACGTATTAAGTGGCACTAGACTGATTAGGCAAATGTCACACAATCAGTATTTATTGTGATCATGATTGATTTACAAGGTTACGTAGAAATATTTGTACACTGATGGTGTGGATCACAGAACCTTTTGACATTCGTCACAGCTTTAGCGTAAAATAATTTTACGTTTTGAGTTTTGTCACTACACGTTTATATGAAGAAGTGAAAACGCTCTGACTATTTTTTGTAGGTACATAATGTTTCGATAATTGGTCGGAAAATTAAATTTTGTAAATACATCTCATTGTCTATTTGTAAATGCTCTCGACTGACCTGGAATTTCTCAAGATTTAGTTCAGCCACCCGTCGCAGCAGCTTGAATGTTGCAGTTGTTAAACTCAAACATGGAGATGGAATCATCGGTGAAGCATGTCCCTCTACTCTTGGCGTTGAGTCAGGAGGTAGAAGAGATCCATACAGCATAGAAACACAGCCGAGTAACTCAGTACCGTGCAGTGTACTGACCTGGAAAAGGATAAGGACAATAATAACGCAGAAACATAAATACAGGGTGGTCCATAAGTCCTTTGAAATTTCAAATTTGAATAAAATTTAACGGGTGAGCGTGAGCGGCGCGGGCGAGGTGGGGGCAGTATCTTCAATGTCTGGGAATTCAGTCGCCATGGAGTGTTTTACTGGAGCGGATCGTGCTTTTTGTGTGCGCGCGTTTTATCAAAATAATGATTCGGCAACCATTGCGCGGCGTAAATATCGAGAATACCACAATTTACACAATTTTACAAAGTGTCCAACAGCTCAAACGATTAAGAACTGGGTGGCTAAGTTCGAAGAGACTGGTTCGACGTTAGATAAACAGCGGTGGGGTCGACCAAGGACAACTCGTATTGAAGAAAACATCAACATTGTGGCACAGTCTGTTCGTCAAAATCCTACCCAGTCTACTCGTAAGCGTTCCAGTGCACTAAACGTACCCAGAACATCTTTACAGCGGATTTTAAGGAAAGATTTACGTCTGCACGCTTACAAAATTCAGTTAGTGCAGGAATTAAAAGATAATGACGCTATTCAGAGACTAAACTTTGCGAATGAAATGTTGAATCGATTTTCTTCGCTCAATAATGTGTTGTTCTCGGACGAGGCTCACTTCCATTTAAACGGGCATGTAAATAAACAAAATTGCCGTTATTGGAGCCCCGAAAATCCAAGGCGTAAGCATCAGAAGCCCTTACACAGCCCTAAAGTTACAGTTTGGGCTGCTATGTCAGCGCATGGCATCGTAGGCTCTTATTTTTTTGAGGACGACAGAGGTCGCGCATTAAATGTTACTTCGGAGCGGTATGTAGCAATGATAGAAGAGTTTTTGACACCAGCGTTGCAGAATTTTCCAGGCTATAATACGCAGACCTGGTTTCAATAGGACGGAGCAACTGCCCACACCTCCAACACTTCTATGCCCGTCGTCTGTCAACTTTTTCCCAGCAAAGTAATTTCTCGAAGAGGAGACATTTCCTGGCCACCACGTAGTCCAGATTTGACCCCAATGGACTTCTTTTTATGGGGCTACCTCAAGAGTAAAGTGTACGACACCACTCCGCGATCAGTTGATGTCCTGAAAGAAAATATCCGAAGAGAAATGGCAAGCATTACAGTGTTGACTTGCCGCGCAGTCATCGACAATTTTAGACGTCGTTTATATGAGTGCCGTGATCGTAATGGATTGCATTTAGACGATGTGATTTTTAAAACATAATTCCCATTCAATAAAGATGATAACAAAATATAATAATTCTTCATAATGTAACTAGTTTGGTTTTATTCCTTTTTTTCCAGCTCAAAGGACTTATGGGCCACCCTGTATATCAAAATATATGGCTTACGAGTAAACTTGAAGATTGGAACGGATAAAGAATCATAGGCCAACAAAATTGAGCCGACCCTCGAACCCAGAAAACAGAATACTTTCCCGAAGGTTTTTTATGCGCTGAATCGGAATCCGTGGACCAAATATTTCAATTGGATCTAGTTTCCCAGATATATCAACATAAAAGTGCAAAAATACGGTTTCTTGTCTTTATTTGAGGATGTCACACGATAAATTATTTATAAAATCCATAGTCACTATGAAATTTTCATTTTCAGCTTTTATCAGAGGAAATTAATTTTTCTTTTAAAAAAGTGTGCAGGTGAAATTAAGAACGGTAAACTCTGCCTTAGTAAGATATAGTGGGTTGTGGCCTTGTGTTTTGGGTAAGTTTTAGATATTTTACTTACTGGTGAGGATTTTAATCCATAAAAATAGATTAAACCATTGAATTTTTGGTGTATCTCAATCCAAACCACATCTATGATGCACACGTAATCATAACGTGTAGAGTATCAAATAGGTATAGTGAAATGAATGAAAAAAATTCAAAGTGCAACATCTCAGCGAAAAAAGAGGATATTTAAATAAATTCAACGGCATTTGAAAGAGCAAGGCTTGTGTTTTGAGATGATGTCTTTGGTTATTTGAAAAAAGATTCGATATGCTAGATAACCTCAATTTTTGCACGTTAGCTTAGGCCATCTCGGAAACTCGATCCAATTGATAGATTTGGACAAAGTATAGGGTTAGTAGAATCACTCTGGCTGCTATTTGTCAGACGAGTGGATTGTAAGCGCACGGTACAGCTTCTAGTACAAACAGCACCAATATGATTCGAGTTGCTGACGCGCAAGCTTCAGCTAGAAACAGCAACTGACACAGCGGTACAGAGTCGGAGTGTGTTTTCAGCGCTGTTATAGCTGCGTTGACCCGTGCATTGTTCATCGTTCAAGTGCTTGATTCCATTATGAATCAAACATGTTCCGTGTGTGGATAGCTGTTTTGAGTCCGAACAACTACAGCGACACAAAGGTACTGTTATGGCAGAATACCTTAAGTACTTTCACCAATGACAGTCCATGAGCATGTAAAAAGGCAAAAATTGAGAAGTCAACAATCTTAATATTTTGAATGTTTTCACAGGGGTCACAATAACTCAAAAATGCAAAAATTTGTTATTTTTCTACTTTCTGGTTACTTTGGACCATAGTTGAAACATAGGTTGTTTGAAAATTCTGAAACCAGGAATGCATACTATGGCTGCATATACCGCTAACAACGCTTAGAATTTCTGTGTAGCTAATCTATCTCTGAACTGTTTGACCCATTTATGAAGCTAGTTGGCTCCACTTTTCTCTATTCAGTACTCAAATAATTTTGGAAAAAAAGTTGGAACTTCGTTGTTTCGCAAAATTGTGCGAGTATAAACAAAAAAATATTTGCGTTTCGGTATAATTTGCAGCTCATGTAGCGCTTTTGAAACCCTCATACATCGACCACCAGTGGTAAAAAGCACGGAATAGCACATCTATCCAGTTTATGCATAAGCAAGCAAACTCCAAGATTATTTTTGTACAACTTACTGATATATGATTTCATATCTTTTTGGCATGTAAAAAGGGAAAAATTGAGAAGTCAACAATCTTAATGTTTTGAATGTTTTCACAGGGGTTAACAACTCAAACATGCAAAAATTTGTTATTTTCTACCTTCTGGTTACTTCGGGCCATAGTAGAAATATAGGTTGATTGAAAATTTTGAAACCAGGAATGGATACTATGGCTGCATATACCGCTAACAACGCTTAGAATTTCTGTGTAGCTAATCTATCTCTGAACTGTTTGACCCATTTATGAAGCTAGTTGGCTCCACTTTTCTCTATTCAGTACTCAAATAATTTTCGAAAAAAAGTTGAAACTTCGTTGTTTCGCAAAATTGTGCGAGTATAAACAAAAAAATATATGCGGTATAATTTGCAGCTCATGTAGCGCTTTTGAAACCCTCATAGATCGACCACCATTGGTAAAAAGCACGGAATAGCAGATCTATCCAGTTTATGCATCAACAAGCAAGCAAACTACAAGATTATTTTTGTACAACTTATTGATATATGATTTCATATCTTGTCGGCACCGTTTTTTTTTTCGCTCTTTCTATCCGGTTAAGAGCTGCTATACTGAAATAAGTTATCAGACTGTAATAAAGTGATGCGTATGTATTTTTGTGAAAATGTTGATAATCAACATTGACACTATACAGACTGACGAGAAGACTGCGTAGTAAGCACATCTCAATATACAGTAATGGACAAAAGTATATAGACAAATATGAATATTTACCTAAATACCTTTAGAAAACGAATTCATACTTCATTGCTCCATAAACAAATGCGTTATTAGCAGAAAAACTAAAATCCTTGTTTTTACATTATCTGCAATGAACACAATACAAGTCTGAATATAAGCACCTTTTTAAGAGGGACAAAAATATGTAGACATCATTTATTGTAGAATAAGTTGAGTGATTTTAAGATCATGCCGCGTGGTCCAGAAATTTCTTTCGATGTGAAAACTAAGATCATTGAGTTATACAAAGATAGTCAACGTCAAGTCGACATTGCCAAAAATTTGAAGCTGAAGCGTAAAGCAGTTTGGGCAATATTCAACAAATCTAAACAAAAAGGTATCTCGGAAGCCCTGAGAGAAGTGGTCGGCCTAGAAAACTAAATGCTAGATCAGTTAGATTAATAAAAGTAATTTCGTCCAAAGATCCGTTTAAAACCCCAAGATAAATTAAAGCAGAAATCGAGACAAAAGGAATTGCCAATGTTTCTACGAAAACTATAAGTAGAAGATTAAATGATCTGAAGTTATTTGCACGTCGCCCGAGTGAGACGCCGCTAATCTCGAGGAAAAACCGTAGAGAGGGTATGTTTCAGTAATGAATCCAAGTTCAATATGTTTGGATAAGATGGTGTTCATTACGATAGACGTCCTAGTGGACAAAGATTGAACCCCAAGTACACTTTGCCCACTGGCAAACATGGAGGCGGATCTGTTATGGTTTTTAGGGGTGCTTTTCGGGGTTTGGGGTGGGACCTTTACATAGAATAGATGGCATTATGGATAAGTTTGTATATACAGACATACTAAAGCATGTCATGTTACCCTATATGGAAGACAATATGCCCTTAAGATCAATCTTCCAGCAAGATAATGACCCGAAGCACACTTCAAATCTCGCAAAGAAATTCTTTCTGGACGAAAGCATACCAATTCTCAAATGGCATTCACAGTCTCCCGATATAAACCGCATTGAAAATCTATGGAAATACTTACATAAGCAAATACGAGATAAAAATTATTCAAACAAGGATGAACTTTTTGCCGCATTAGAGAAAAGTGGAGACAGATTGATGAATCTTATATCAAGAAACTTCTACAATCTATGCCGAGACGATGCCAGGCGGTGATTGATAATAATGGTTATGCTACAAAATATTAACACAAGCATGGTTGGTTTTCTATAATTCAATGAATTTTGCTTTTTTTTCATAATTGTTTTGCTTTGTCTATATATTTTTGTCCTTCATTGTTCCAGTTTTGTTCAATTAATTTTTTATTGAAGGGAGTCTAATGAATTTATTTATGTATAAGTGAGTATTATACTATAAAGAATTATGTATACAGATTGGTGTATTAATAAAACAAGTTAAAAAAGAAATACAGGACAATATCAATTTGTCTATATACTCGTACTTTTGTCCATTACTGTACATTATAGTCTTGGTGTGTTGTACCTCATGCATTGTACCACAGCCGACGTTAACTACGTAGTTGACGTCGGCTGTGATTGTACATATTACTTAAGTCTCGCAGGTAGCCAGTCGATCGTTTTACTAAATTATGCACTTATTTCCAACACGCAAGCTATCAGAGACTATTAAGTAATTATCCATACAAATTAATGATATGATCTTGCTAGGGGCATGATCTAGACTACCATAAATGACTGTTTGAGGCTATTGCAAAGAACCGAGAACTTGTACACAGTACACAGGGACCTTCCGTACCCGATTGCTTATCTGGCGGCGAGAAAATTGCACTAGCGAAATTGCATGTAGTTTGTATAGCTTTTGGTTTTCTTATTCAGTGATTTGGGCTGGTTGCTGGGTAAACTCTTGTTGGCATGTGTTACTTATCATTAAAGAGCTCACCAAATTTGTAGGATCTGATTCTTCAGGACAGTGTCCAGCTAACGCCGTCAGAAATTCTAAAGCTGCTAAAAGGAACGAACAGGCTGGAGGTATGTCGTGGACGGGACCTCGGACGGCAAGACAACATCGAGCTAGTTGCTCGACCACTCCCACGCATACTGAAAAACTGAAAGACGATTTGAAGAATGTATTTCATGTTAAAATTTGTTAGTAAAACGAATTGAATAGCTTTCTGTATATAACGTTCACTTGTAGTTCTGAACGGTCTCACTTGCTGTTTCATGTTCATAGAAAAGGAAATAGAGAGCGAGAGACCATAAATTGTCGAAATTTTAATGGATTGAATCGATTTGGAATATTACTATAGTAAAAACAGTTACATCACAGATGATCAACCTACCTAACAACATCATGAACTCTATTTGATGGTGTTTTCTTTGGTACATTCTCCAATACAGTAGCCAACAGCTGTAGTAATGCTGTACACAAAGGCTCTGTAGGAAGTACACCTTCAATGTCGTCCAACTTCTGTAAAGATAATTAAAAGAAGATCATAGCATATCATTTTTGATATCTGGTTAACAGGTATCAGGTTAACATAACACTTAAACTAGGGTTGGTAAAAACTCAGGTTTTTGGAAAAAAATACGAAAAAAAGGTTTTTTGGTTTAAACCAGGTTTTTTTTGTTTAAGCGAAGTGTATTTACTTCAAAAAATTCCGTCTGAAAATTGACTGAAACTAATATAAATTGAGAAAAATACATAATTGTATAGTCCCCCGTCAAAAAAACAACTTTCACCCTGTTAAACAATATAGGTAGCAGGTGAATAGCAATATTTGAAAGCTGGAAAGCAATAGTGTGAAGTGGCAGAAGTGGAAAGATTCTAAAGGCAACTAAACGTTATATACATAAATTCACAAACATATTATACAAAGTTTTTATTTGGATTAATATGTGAAAATGAGTAAGGAATAAACGTAAAGCACTAACTCGTAAACTAAAACTTGAGATAAAACCTAATAGAAAACTTAGTAATATAAATTAATCATATATTTTAGTTTCAATCTACTTCATTATTTGAAGATGTATTAAATATTTTAAGAAACTATTATTGACAATAGTTCACTAAACTAGAGAAAAATTAAATTTTACATGAAAAAAAAATTACAAGTTATAAAAAACGGTTTTTTTAAACAGTTAGTTTAAACCATGGTTTAAACCTGGCAACCCTGAGTTAAATAAATCACATCAATTTTTTAAAGACTCAACACGTAATTGACCATTACACATTTTTACTTCCCATGCCAACAGGCGTGGAAGCATTTATGAAAATTAGGTATTATGTTATTCTAATTTTACATAACATAAAATATACATGATAAAAAACCATGTTACTTATTTCTATCGGTCTGCCTGGTAGTATGTCTGTCTGTTAATACTTGGGCAAACTATAATTAAAGAAGGTTACTACTATGCCAAGGACGGGTTTTCTTTTTGAAAATCGACCTAGTGACGAAGATGAACAAAAAAATAATAAAACTCGCTCAAACTCCGTTTTTCAACGTTTCAGGGACATCTCATTTTTGGAAACAAGTTTTGTAAAGCAAAAATTGGGGGTGGGAGGTTGTAGGGATAGGAGAAGATATGTATATCCCAAATTTTTTATGTTAGTAAACTTCTACGCTTGCAACACCGGCAGTTCTACGCACCTAGTAGATATCAATCACACCTAGTTTTCTCCGTACATTTGACCTTAAAACCAAGACATATTTTTAAGACACACGTAGAATGTAACGAATCACAGCGATGTCAATTAGGTAGGCACTATGGGGTAATTGTATGGCGCTGATCAGTGACTTGATCCGTTTAATTTTTTAACAATAAATGTTCATAGCTAACTTTTCTCAGATTGGCTAACTGGTGCTGAACATGACCCTTTAGGAAGTAGTGCGAAAAAAGTGCAAAGTCAACCTACTTGACGCCATTTTTTTTCAATATCTATGTCTATTTTAGATTGATTTCTAACTTACCTGCAATCTAGCGTTCAACAGATCTATCACAGACATCAGCTTGTTTGACAAGACCACATATTCACAATTACTAGCACCTTCAGGCCCTTTGCATGCGACCTGCCATAAATTGCAGCATATAATCATTGTTCTGAAAAAGAAGTTTGATTAAACAATATACAACTATCACAACATTTGATTTTCCTCATTATTTTCATTATATTGCCTGTTTTAAACAATGTTTTGAATTGATTTGACGAGAGCTTGATCCTATGGACGACTTAAGTCTCCCCAGTACCCCCATATATAAGACATGCATCTGTAGTCCTCACACAACTCATTTGTTTTCTGAGATACAAACAAGAGATTTGGGCATACGGAAGTAAAGTGCTTAATAAACAGAATATCATCTTTCAATTTTTACAAATAATTTATTTTTCTTTAAAAAATTATGTGGAATTCAAAACGTGTAATTTCCGTGGATGAAGAACCAATAATGATAACGGATAAAGGAAAACACCAACCTCTACTCTAAACCATCCATTTATCTAGAACCTCTTTTCACTCTCTACGCCACGCGAGAAAGTATTGTAATCGCGAAAAATTTTGAAAATGAGATTTATGGTTTTCTGGATGTTATATGAGAGGTACATCATAACAAATCATGTCACCCATTTCCGTCGGTCTGTCCGCTAATCCTTGGACGACCTATAACTTGGGAAGTACCGCTCGGATTTCGATGAAATTTTCACACAAGGTCACTACTATCCCAAGGATGAAAAAGCTTTGTAGTTTTTGAAGACACGAAAGTAATTAAAATCGCTCAAGCTCAAGCATTTTTTTGATATTATATTTATACATATTGTTCACCTTTCAAAGTCAGGATTAAGCAGTTATTCATATGCTGGACCGTCAATATTCGCTCTTGCCTTATTCAGTTTATGAAAAATAACTGAGCGATTCACATCGCAACACAGATAGCATTGCTCTATATAAGTCCACCCTGTAGGAATAGCAACTTGAAAATACTTTTTTCTTAATCGCAAAGCCCTTCGACTCGAAATTGTACATCTCCGTACAACATTCAAGGAGCCTTAACAATCATCAACGACTGTATACGTACTTTGTTGATATAGAAGTATTCCCATCTTGCGCTAACATCAGCAGCTTTCCCAGAACCGAAAAACCGCCGACGCTCTGGAACGCCACGAAATCATTCTTAGCACCTTTAGACAGCAACCTGTTCAATTCATTCAGTATCCTATCAAGTTGGCCATTAGTAGCTGGAGATAAGCCCTGGACAGCTTGGTTGGTGATAGATCCTATTGTGTTTATGCTTCTATTCAGACTTCGCTTGTTGGATCCATCAACTATGTTCGGTTTATATGCCGTCTCATATTCAGCACCTACCAACAATTCAAAGAATACCTTTTTACAGAAATAGAAAAAAAATAGAAAACCATAGTGAATATAAGCATCTTTCAATGGTTTACGAGGACTGGAGGAGATGTATGGACAATAGCAAACATACAGTAACAGTGTTTTTGGACTTCAAAAGGACATTTGAGACTATTGACAGGGATAAATTACTTACAAAACTGCATGACTACGGATTTAAAGGATCTGCATTAAAAATTCTACAAAACTATTTAATTGACAGAAGTCAAAAAACCAAAACTGGATCTACATTATCAAGATCAAAAAATATTTCTGTTGGTATACCACAAGGAAGTAAACTAGGTCCACTACTATTTATCTTTTACATTAATGACATTTGTAAGATTTTAGATTATTGTAAAATTCAGATATTTGTAGATGATACATTAATATACATATCAGATGAAAATATAGACACTGCTTTAAAAATGCTAAATTCTAACTTGGCAAAACTCATAAATTGGTTAAATGTAAATAAACTCAAATTGAACACTTCTAAAACAAAATGTATGCTAATAGGGAAATATTTAAATGAAAATACTATCACAGTTGGGATAAATTGTGAAATAATTGAAAATGTTGAATCAATCAAATATTTAGGTATATATATTGATAGTAAACGAAAGTTTGAGGATCACTATGAATACATTATTTCAAAAATTGCCAAAAAACAAATTACTTTTAGAGGGCTTCTCATAGTCTTGGTACATATTCCACAAAAATAGTTTAAAATACAATTATTCTACCGCATTTACTATATTGTTCAACTATCTTGTTCAGTGTCAATGAAGCTGTGTTCTCAAAATAAGTGCACCAAAATAAAATCTATGTTACAAGAATTGCAGTGGTCGAATATAAAAAATTTCATATGGTTTTTGGTTCTTATTTTTATATTTAAAATAAAAAATCATCTTTTGCCACAACATTTAGAACACTACATAGAATTGAATAATCATTATCACAATTATTATACAAGACGAAATATAGATTTTCATTTACAAAATTGCAATAGTTAATATAACTAGCAAATCAATATTTCAGAAAGGATTACTTGAATTTAATAAACTAAATAATGATACAAAGTCTACTTGTAATTTAAAAATGTTTAAATGAAAATTCAAGGAATATTTCATGGACAGTGAAAATTCTTGAATATGCAAATTTTGTTTTTTTTCTAAATATCTGCATGTTACGTAATTGTTTAGTTTTTAGAAGAATGTAATTGTATCAATCATGCTAAATAAATCTTAAACAAACAAAACATTAATGCTGTATTAGATAGTCAAAATCATAACATAGACTTATGAAGTGGAAACACAATTTTTTGATGTTTATTGACAAAAAAATGTTTTCTATGTTTAGAAGAGGTAACTGAGATTTGGAGAAGAGCCATAGGCTCAGAGGAAGTTGTCATAGCAGAATTTTTGGATCTGAGGAGGGCATTTAAAATAAATGATATTTTGTTAGGTAAATTGAAGGCATATGGTATATCTGGAAACGTTTTAGACTCGTTTAAAAATATTTGTATAAAAAGATGCAAGTTACAAAAATTAATAACACTTTTACATTAAAAATTTAAAATACGTTAGGTATTCCACAGGGCAGTATCTTGAGACCAGTTCTTTTTATTTCATATATAAAATATTTACCTGCCATAGCAAAATCAAATTTTATCCGATTTCACTTTGATTCATATAAGTACTCAAAATATTCAGTCTGACTCTTATATAAATGAAGACTTGAAACTTGTTAGGTTAGCATCTAACAAACTCAAATTAAATACAAATAAAACGAAATCTATGTTAATTGATGGATGTCCGAGTTTATAGAGCAGAAACATTATCTATAATACTATCACTCTTCTAAATTTCTTGTGCTGTTATACTATTCTATGTTTAGCTAACAATTCCATTTGTGAAAGACTGCAAATTTAACAAGTGCATGGCAATATTACTGAGAAAAGATAAATATACTCCAATTAGACAAATGCTTAGCAAATTAAAATGGCTCAATGTCAAAAATTTTATAAAACATCTTGTAATGATATTCATTTTTAAGTAAAAAATAATATTTTTCCACCATGTCAAGCTAATTTAACTTCATCAAATGCCGACCGTCATATACATAATACCAGAAATAAAGATGACCATATAATGACCAAAAAGTACATATGCTACAAATCTGTATTCCGTCAAGGGTTGTTTGAATATAATAAATTAAATACAGAGCTAAAGGATCAGCAGACTTTGACAGAATTGAAAGTAAAATTGAGGAATCACTTGTTAAATCTACAATTACAGCTTGCCCAGCATTTACATCATATGACTTGAATTCACCAATTTTAAGTTGTTTATAATTTTTCTGTTTACGTAGCCAAACGTGCTAAATGAATCCTTCAACTACTACCACTAATATTATCAATCAAGATTTATTGATTGTATGATATTACAAAATAACTTTGAACAAACCTTTGGTAACCATTCTTTGCCTTATCTTCTTGCACCTCTTTCTATGGGCCTTGATCCTTTCCTTGGCTGCCATAACTTTGGGATCTTCTTTACCTACTGGGGCCTCCACGATCTGCGTCAGATTATACTTTTCAATGTCGTTTGGTGCTAAGTTTGCTTGTTTCACAGCATCTTGGTGCATCCTACCTTTCAGGTGACTCATCAGATATACTTCTGAATTGATCTAAAATAAGGGTAGATTCTGGTACTTAGCATAAGTGTTAGTCGTTAGTTTCAAAAAATACATAGTCTTTACAAAAAATAGTCGAATAGTCTAAAAGTGGCTATTTGGGACAAAAATGTTTAATATTTTTTCAAGACTCACCAGCACATTACAAACAGTACACAGTTTCTGTGTGAGATATGGAGCCATGTTGGGTGTTTGATTATCTTCCGTCTGACATCGATGTATAGACAATTCTAATGCTCTCAGTCGTATTTGCTCCATATTTTCGTCATGACGTCTCTTAGATTCCTCCTGTTTCTGCTCTATCCTTTTCTGAAGTTCTTGCGCTGTCGCTAATTGTTTTTCATGAAGTGCTGATAACCTTTCCTATATACGAAATCAAGATAAGCTAGGTGAACAGAATAACGTTTTTTTTACACTTCAACCACCACGCAGGAATAAGGCTTAAATACATGTGGAGCTATAGGGAGATACATGGGAAAAGGGGCCGTTACACGAACAATAACAACATGCATAGCCAAGAGAAACATTCTCTTGTAGTCCAGACAATATGTTCGCATCTGGTAAGAAAAATATTCTGATTAGGATTTTTTCCATAATCTTAATCAGAAAGGTCATATGGATGTTGTTAGTTCCAGATTTGCGTCAATAATTTTTTGAACAATTTTTTGCTCATACTATTGGAACGGGATTCGAACTACGCCACTGCTCTGCCTAATTAAGCAAATTTGAAGAAGCGCATATGATCACTTTACACTGGTCTCGCATAGATTTTTCATACGCGAAATCAAAGCTTCATTCTTCAAACTGTCAACCTGACGAGATTAACAGGTCTATAATGAGCATTATGGAAAATGCTCAAACGAACAAATTCTGTTGGTATATTGCTGAAAAAGGGAAATATCGATGACCATTCGTCGATTTAAAAGAGGTCATGACTGGGCCGTTTCTGAATCGTATCAAGTCAAGATAATGCAGCGTAACTTGAAGTCAATTCTTGGAAATGGGTGTGGTTCTATTACTTTTCGAGTTACTGTATTTTTCAACATTGATAGAAGAGTCGCTTCCCGCATCATTATCAGGAGTAAAAGTCTTGCCGTCGTTCATGAGTCGCATCTCTAAAGAAGATGACATAAACGATATGAAACACCTCAGAATAAAATTATTATATAAAAAATGGATACATTTACAAACTGATTTCATAAACGTCAGAAGTGAAATGAAAGGTAATAGAACTTTTCTACTGGTTATTTTACTCCAAGAAACCTCCTCCTTAAAAACGAAGAAGTATGATCACGTGAGAAAGTAGGCGTGGTTCTTTTGTCTTTTGGGATGCTGTATTCCTGAACAATGATAGAATAGGCGCACCCCGAGTCCTTGTCGGGATAACAAATGCAGAAGCCTCACCGTTGTCAACAGCTGTCAGAAGTTTCTACCCCGCACAAGAATTAGGGATCTGCTGAGAATATCTTGATAAATAAAAGTTCCAACTCACCTCCCTATCTCTGGCCTTTTCTCTAGCCAATTCCTGTCTCTCTTTCTCTCTCTGCTGTTGTTGCTGCCCAATCCGTTCATCTCTCTGTCTACGTTCATCTTGCAATCTATCCAATCGTTCTAAGCGTTCACGTTCCAAAGCTTTCCGTCGTTCTTCTACGGCTGCTTCTTTCGCGGCCTTCTCTTTTTGTCTCTTCTTTCTGTCTTCTTGGATTCCTTGGATGCGACCTTTTTGTTCTTTGCACGATTGCAAAAAGTCGTGCCTAATAAAATATATACAGGGTGATCGGAAGATCGATATCATTCTTTTAAAGGTGATATTAAACCATTTGGTACACATTGGTATATCCTGGTACAAGGTCTTTGGGGTTTCTCTATACAAATAGTTTCCAAGTTATCGAAATACCGTGTACACGTGATAAAAAATTAAGTTGGTTTACGAAATGTTTAGATTTTCCAGTGATTGCGGATTTATGGAAAAGGTTGGCAACAGTGTAGTTCAAAATAATTAAAAAAATTCCTACAGTTCTGGTCTTTCTTATGGTATGTCAGATAAAGCGATATAACCATATTTTTTCTTTGATGACCCAAAATATTAGATCAGGCTGAATGTCATTGAAATTACAAAAAAAAAAACAAAATCCACTTTTCGTAAAACCACTTTATTTTGACAAAAGTATCCTTTCATTCGATAACAAAATGCAAATTGTTATTTCTTACGCATGTACGCGCCTTTGTTTCGTTTTACTGTAGCAGTATTCAGTTTACTAAGAGCCATTCCGTTTCACAGTACCATGTAGCATTTTTTAATATTCCACGGCAAAGATATGACAGCTACGAAAATTCAAAATATTAATTATTAATATAATAAACATTTCCAAGAACATTACAAAACTTCGAAGCAAACAATACATACCCAGAAATATAAAACCGTGATACTCCATTTATTTTTAGGTTTCACAAAGGATAAGTCGCCATGTTCAGTTCTAATTCGTACTTTTGTGGTCGCTAAATCTAACTACTGCTTATTTTTTTATGTATCTAGCTACACAAAGGAACTGAGTTATATTACGAAACGACTTCCGAGGGGCATTTGATTTGCAAAATTTATGAATTTTATTATTTAAGACAAGGCATGAAAACCATTAGAATGAGCACATAAGTAATTGTGTTACTTTCAAGTGCTTTATTAGAAGGAATGGGTATGACAACTAGTATTTTCTACCAAATAGAAATAAAAGATGTATCGCGGTTTTGTATTTCTGGAGTGTGTACAATCTGCTCTTAAGTTATGTAATATTCCTGAAAATGTTAATTATATTTTTGTGTATTAAATTTCATGTGCTAGCAATATTTTGAATTTTCGCAGTTGTCATATATTTTCGTGAATCTTAGAAATGCTACACGGATCTGTGAAACCCAATCATCATTAGTAAATTGACTACTGCTAAAGGAATACGAAACAATGACACGAAAAAGGGTTAGATATTAATAATTTGCATTTTGTTATAGAGTGAATAATTTTTGAATATCAGGTGCTTTGGTTCATGAAAAGTGGATTTGATAATTTTTTGCAGTTTCGATGTCACTCTGGTTGGTATAAAATTTTGGTTTATTGAGGCCAAAATTATGGTTGCATCACTCCGTATGGTATATCACAAGAAAGAACAGAAGAGGAGCAAGTCTTTTCAATGATTTCATAGTTCGAATTCGTTCGAAAAGCCTTAAAGCGCTGGAAAATCGAGCTAATCAGCAAACCAACTTAATTTTTTACGTGATATCTAATATCTAATGTCTTTGTCAAAATATAGATCAATAATCTGGTCTCCCTATTATATGGAAAATTGACTAGCCCTCGAAAGAGTGCAGAATAAATTTATTAAGTTTCGTCTTCACTGAATATATTCAACTTGAAGAATTTATATCAAAGGCGTCTTCACAATGATTTATTTGTGAAAATTGTGAAGGAACAGATAATAGAAATATTAAAGCCTACCTTTGACTCCCGTACTAATACAAAATTTATCTTATACGTAGTCATGCCATAAGTTCTGTCCCTCGTTTTCAAACAAGTGTAGACCTGTTAATACTTGTCCGATTGTTTACATTGTGGTGTCAGTTGATTAAGCGCTTTTCGGGTAATTACATATACCTCAGTTTGTATTGATCTCTCGAAGCATAACGATGGAGTGGGGCAAGGCAGAGAACCGTATTGCAGTGATAGCTTTACATAAGTGTAATCACAGTGCTAGTCAGATTTTTGAACTCTTACGCGGCCTTCAAATATCGCGTAAATTTGTGTCTAGGACCATTCAGCGGTACAATGAGACGTCCTCTGTTGATGACAGGCCAAGAAGCGGAAGACCTCGTCAAGTAAGGACTCCAGCAGCCATCAAAGCCGTAAAAGCCAGGATTCAAAGGAATCCACTCCGGAAGCAGAAGATCCTATCCAGGGAAATGAAGATTCCTGTCCGGACGATGTCGCGCATCATTAAACAAGACCTAGGGCTAGGGGCTTACCGGAGACGTACGGGCCAGCGACTTACGGCCACCTTGCGACACATCAGGGCTTCAAGATCCAAGAAGCTCTTGGAGAGGTACGCAGCTGGGGGATTCCGAAAGATTTTGTTCACGGATGAGAAAATCTTCACCATAGAAGAAAAATTCAACCGACAAAATGACAAAGTGTATGCAAGGAGTTCACAGGAAGCTTCGGAGATCATTCCGAGAGTTGAGAGAGGCCACCACCCTGCGTCAGTCATGGTTTGGTGGGGGGTGTCCTACGAAGGGGTCACTCAGCTCCATTTCTGTAAACAGGGCGTGAAAACAAAAGCGGCAAACTATCAGAGCGACATAATACTGGATCCTATCGTCAAGCCTTTAAGTGGTACATTGTTTGCCAACCAACACTGGGTCTACCAGCAGGATTCCGCCCCCGCTCACAAGGCTAAGAGTACGCAGCGCTGGCTGGAAAGCAATGTGCCAGAGTTCATTGCTGCGGAAGATTGGCCCTCAGGGAGTCCGGACCTCAATCCTTTAGACTACAAGTTGTGGGACCTGCTAGAGCAGTTGGCCTGCTCCAAAGCCCACCGTAATATCGAGTCCCTGAAAGCGGATTTGATCCGATCAGCGGCAGCTATTCCTTTGGAAGCTGTGCGTGCAGTGATAGATGAGTGGCCCGCGAGATTGAAGCAGTGTGTGAAGGCCAAGGGGGGACATTTTGAATAAAACTGTTTGATTATGAATTCTAAAAATGTTGTCGAATAAATAATATCTTTCATATAAATATATCTTATCTTGTTTCATTTTTATCATGAGATTATCATGGGACAGAACTTATGGCACGACTACGTAAATATTCGAATTCTCTGAAAATAAAAACCAGCGTTTTTTTTTTAATTTCCACGGAGACAAAATGATTGAATTATTTCAAAGTGGTGTCAGAAATGTTGACATTTCTCAAAGAATAAAATTGAACAAAGGGACGATTTCGAAAATTATTTGTAAATATCAAGAATACGGATAAACAGCAACGCGGAAGATCGAAAAAAAAAGGATTATGTTTTGGATCGCTGCGCAACGCTTGGCCCTTGAAGATCCTCGAATGCCGGCCACCCAAATTTTTAAAAGAATCGTAGAAGAGGATGCCAAGAATCTTTCGGTCAGAACAGTGCAGAGACGCTTGGTGGATTTTGGGCTTTTTGGTAGGCGCCCAGTGTAAAAGCCTCTCATTTAAAAAAAATCGTATTTCTCGGCTTGAATTTACTAAACCTCATCGGCATATGTGAGACATCCAATACGAAAAAAGTATCAGTTGTCAACAGTTAAGCACGAGGGAGGTAACATCATGGTTTGCGGCTGTTTTTTTAGTTCTGGAACGGGTCCAATTGTTGAAATTGTTGGGAATATGGATCAAAAACTTTACAATGATATTCTTAGTGAACACATGCTCCCTTTTGCTAAAGAAGAAATACCTTTACGATGGACATTCCAGCAAGATAATAACCCCAAGCATACCTCAAGATTCGTAAAGCACTGATGGTTAAGACTAAAAAATGTTAATTTTCTTACATGGCCTTCGCAATCCCCGGACCTAAACCCCAAAAATAGGAACGATTTATTTATGTAAAAAATTGATGTCTTCTATGAGCAGCAGATGTCGAGCTATGCTAACAAATATTTGCTAAACATTATTTTTTAAATTCTTTTGTAGAGTTATTGTATTTAATTTTGTAATATAAAATGTTTCCATACTTTTGTCGCCTCATTTTTGCTCATAAAATAAAATGAAGGTATTTTAATCCTAGTACGACAGCAAACAAATTGTCAAGACTATAAGCAAACTATATGAATAAAAAATAGTCCTTAATAATAAAGAATAAAAAATGACCGCACTTTCTGAAAATTACTAAGAATGTTTGCAAACTTTTGTCCGCTACTGTATGTGGACCAATGTATTCCAAACATTATCATCCCTTAAAGGGGAAGTATCGACCTTCCAAACTACCCATATATCAAATTAGAGATTGGCAAGGAGGATAAAAGGTGACCTAACTGCCAGACTTGCCAACTCAAGCATTACTCAGAAATTAAATGGCTTGGTACTGAAAGCTAAAGGCAGTACTGATATTGTGGGTCGACCTTCGCCCTATCTCTCGCTTTACCAAATAAAGTACTGTTGGACGAGTGACACTAAGGCCCGTATCGTCAGTCGTCCCTACAATTGTAGGGCGCGTTTATGGCCTCCTTGATTGACATACTCCTTTCTCTCCTTCAAAAATTTCTAGATTACACTTGTCCCGTGTCAGCGTCAACGCTCTCCTATTGTGAAGATATGTTTTCTTTTTAAATTGTAGGAAATTTCAGGCTGATAAAACATGATATAACATAAAAGCAAGCACAATTTGATGGAACTAGATGTTTGTGACATAACCTCAAAATAGAGCGCTGACACGGAGAAGTAGAAAACTATGACAATCAAGGAGGCCATAAAGGCGCCCTACAATTGTAGGAACGACTGACGATACGGGACTAAGTCAGTGTTGCCTCTTACACTTTCTAAGATGCTTACTATAGTAGGTCAAGTTAACAAAAGTCAGACAAAATCAAGTAACCCTGCAAAATACATTACCTCTTATTCTGAGCTTCTAGCTCGTTGATAAAAGCAATTTCCTTCAATTTCTCTTCTTCGTCATGCGCCTTCGCTATGATACCTTTGATGTGCTGTTTTCTGTTTTGTGCTGCCTTCTGCAACCTGCAAATCAACACATTTTATTCATGTATTCAGTCATCAATCAATTCTAAGTAACCTCAATTCCATTCGTTTCCTCTTCTCCTCGATGAGTTGCTCCTTAGCAGCCTTCACATCCTCAATGCGAGCCCACAGAGCTTGAAGTCTAGCTGCCTTCTCAGCTTGTAGTTCCTGAAAATAAATCAACAACATATGCCTACAAACACCTCTTCACTATAAATCAAATTTCGAAATTTTCCAAGACTATAGAATTTCTCAAAATAAAAATGGATTTTTGATTCCGCTTTTAGGTTTAGTACCTGTCTCCTCTGTTGTGCCCGAGCTTGCTTCACTTGATATCTACGAACGGCCTCAGCAAGACTACGCCTGCGCGCAGGCTTTGACAGTTTTTGATGAAGAAAGTGTGCCCGACCTGGCTTGCGTGCCGTCAGATCTTCGAGAGCGGCCAATGTATCCATCCGATCGCTCCAAGACATACCTGCAACACCATAGTTAGGTAAAGTCGTCATTGATTGAACGAATTTTTTTTTAGAATTGTAGCTTGTTTCATACTTTCACTTTGAATGTGAGGCCTGAGCAATTGCTGCAATTCAACACATATATTAATATCCATGACCGTTCAAAGGTTTGTTTGTACAGTGGTCGGTGTCAGTACATCTGGCCTTGTGTGGGGGAATTACCAGTGGACACATCTACCTTTATTAGGCTTGTGCTGGTCTTGGCAAATTATGTAAGAAGTACCTTGTCTTGAAATCGAAACCACAATTATCTGCACACTTGCATTTTTTTAAAAATAACACTAAAAATATGACACAAATGACAAAACTGTCAAAGAATGAACATATGTCAAGTAGTCTTGTTTGATCCCCACTGTAGACTATGAGAATTGGGCGTTGAACAAATCCTTGACTGGCCCCTTCTACCTAGTTTGGATTCGTTGTGGTGTGCATTGAGAACGACCCAATCGAAATATAAGCTAACGATCGTAACATGAAAAATACAAAATTAACACTAACTGGTACTTAAATAGACACCATAACCTTCACTGACAATGAAAACTGATGATCATGTAAACTAGAAAAGTGAAGTGACATTTGATAACATAATTTAAAAAACGTTAGTTATTAATCACTGGCACCAAAATTGCATATTTTACACAAATTGAACTGTTGAGAAGACTAATTATAATGACTTGTGACTTCATTCATTGGAATAAGAGTGCCTTTGTACAACAAATGAGAAACATGACGTTGGATTTTGGGATCATATCACGGATGTCTGTCAAAGGGTCACTTCAGTGTGTGTGTGTGTTCAGGTAAGAGACTGCCGGGGCCTTCAGAGCACAAAAAAGATCAGTGCGTACCATGCTATATCAACGAAATAGACCAACTTGGAGAAGAAGATTTAGAGAGTTGAATATTCCTACTGTGCCAAGTATTTATATTTTTGAGTGTTATTTAGAAACAGAGAACAATTAAGCGCCTATGAAAGTCATAAAGGTAGCTAGCTATACAAGGCACAGTGGCCTCAATTACTCTTAACACAGATTTACCGCAACAGAAAAGGGCACTACTTACTCGTGTATACATTTTTTAATAAAATACCGTATCACATAAGGGCGGAAAATAATCATATTTTTGAAAATAGCACAGAATTAGAACCCTACACACTGCAGCAGTTTTTAGATTACTTAACTTTAGAACTGTGTAACATTCAATGTCTTATCATTATTTTATTGTGTTTAGAGAGAAGTAGAAGTGATCTACTTGATTTGTGTTTGTATTTTTGTATTCTTAAGCTATTTTAAGCTGTGTATATGTATATTTAGTAGATTTGTATATTTAATTTACTATTGTGCCTGCTTACAGGCTTTTTTGAACTTACGCCTAATTATTTAATTGTTGCAATAGGTAACTTGTAACTGTTACAAATTTTATTAATTAAAGGAATTTTGAACCTGAACAATACTCAACTTACCTGCAAGCATCGGTTCATATCTCGCTTCCAAAGACATCTCCTCTCCACTATCCTCCACGCAATCATCGCCATCCTCGTCTTCATTGTCTCCATCACCCAACAACTCATCCCCAGTCTCAGTTCCATCAGTCTCCGTGTCCACCTCAATTTCCAGGCCCTGCAGATGCTCGATCTCCTTGGTCAAACGGTCCTCCTCCTCAGAGAGTTGTTTCGCCTTCTGGATATGCTCCTCTTCAGAGGCGATGTCGTCTTGCAGCTCACGTAGTTTTAGTTCTTCCTCCATTTCGATGTCCACATCAAAGGATTTTTTTATTTCTTGATCTAGCACCTTCTGGGAATCAATGTCGTAAGTATTATACAGAGTATTAATTTGTGTCTCCCTCAATGTGACAACCACCACCAACACAATCCATTTGATAGCTCAGGTGTAATAGTAATAATATTTACTCACACGTTTATCAGAGGAATAACAATGAAGAATACAGAAACAGTATCATACTATACTAAGTGACATATAAATCCGAACACCCAGTTTAAATGGTTTATTTTAATAAAATTTTGTACCTATAAGTACTTAATGAAGCATAATAAGTAAATGATAAAAATTTCAAAATGATTGCACTGCTTTAAAGCCCTTTGACCTTTAATAATGTGTGGATGCACCCTGATGTGCTACGCATTCTCCAACGCGCCTAGGCATGCTTCTGATCAGGTGGTCAATGTCCTCCTGTGGTATCTCATTCCAGGCATCCACCAACTCCTCTCGAAGTGCTTCTAGAGTCTGAGGAGGACGTTGCAAATTGAGCAATCTCCTACCCATCATATCCCACACGTGCTCAATTGGGGATAAGTCGGGAGATCTTGGTGGCCATGGTAACAATGTGACATCATTATGTTGAAAGAAGTCTATTGTGACTCTTGCAACATGTGGTCGGGCATTATCTTGTTGGAAAGTTGGATCTGCCAGGGTGTCAAGATAGGGTAAAAGATGGGGTTCTAGAACTTCGTGGATATAACGCTGCGCGTTCATGTTACCTCTGATGAAGTTTAAAGGTGACCTGGAACCATAAGCTATAGCACTCCAAACCATAACTCCAACAGTGTGATGAACATGTCTTTCAACAAAAAACTGTGGATTCCTCCTTTCACCACGTCGCCTTCTAACCCTGGCACGACCATCGTGCATTCCTAAACAAAAACGAGACTCGTCACTAAAGACAATACTGTTCCATTCCTGATCCCAGAGTGACCGTTGTCTGTACCACTCAAGGCGATTACGTCGGTGTTCTCGAGTTAAAGGGAGGACCCAGTGTGGCCGGTATGAAAACAAGCCAAAACTTCTCATTCGTCGGTAAACACTTCGCATGCCAATAGGTCTTCCGTGTTCTGCAAACCATTCATTTGCAATGGACCTGGTAGTGGAGAAACGGTCCCTTAAGGCCAATAATCTTAGGCGGCGATCTTCACGGTCTGTTGTTCTACGGCGGCGTCCAGTGCCCCTTGCTCTTTGCGTACGGCCTTCTCGAAGCCATGCCTGACAACACCTAACCACAGTGTCTACACTTCTTTGCACCCTAACTGCAATTGCCCGAAAAGAAAGTCCAGCTTCCCGAAGTCCCACTATACGGCCCCTATCAAACTCACTAAATTGACGAAATCGTACAGGTCTCCGTACTCTAGGCATCGTAACCGATCGTAAAGGATGTCAAGATCCAAAATTCCCCAACCTTGATTCTTTACTGCGGCTGAAATATTCATTTTTAGAGGGTTGGTGAATTAAAAAAAACAGTATAAAAACCGGAATGTCCAACTGATAAGGCTGAACATTTTTTCACTTGTTATTTACAGTAAGATAAATACATTCACCAACTTTTATTAAAATAAAACCATTTAAACTGGGTGTTCGGATTTATATGTCAGTATATAACAATAAATAGTTGCACAATATTTATATCAAAGTAAGAGTGATACATTAAACAAGAAGCATATTACTAAGAAGATCAATAAATACCTGCTTCATTTCCTCTTGTTCAACATTCATCTTGATTTGCAAATTAGCTTCATTCTTGTCTTTGACAGTATGCTTCTTTAATGTGATCTTACTAACAGTTGTGTGTGATCTCTGAAGCAGCATCTTATTTTTGTTAATCTCGGACGTCTTCAGTGATTTCAACGTGTTCAGATTTTCTTTTACGCTTTTGTCTATAGATTTTTGCGGTTTCTGTGGCGAATCCGTATTTTCTGGGAGGAGCGCCAAAGCTGGCAAACTAGCAGTTGCGCTGAGTTGATGGAATCTGGTAGACCACGGAAGGGACGTGTCAGACCTTCGAGGCCTATTGCTTCTAAACCTGCAATAAGAAGACGGTATAATGGTAAGTAGAAAATGCTTCTTACATGACTAGTTTTTTTCGCAAATAATCAACTTCTGCGAATGGGACGTTGTTAAAAAAAGAGCAGGACAAAGTGCAATAATCCCAGAAACATGGAAGCGATCTATTTCAGCAGTTGAACAAATTTTATCCAGTTAGAGGACACCCGAATGTTTGTTAATAGGTGTACATGTTCTGACCCTGATTAGGACTCACAGAAGCGAGTGTTTCCTGGCATACTATTCTAAGTTGGCAGCAAACGAGTTGGGAGGTCAGGGCAGAATGCGGTAGTAGTATTATGGAAAATATATGATGTATCAAATTATAAAGAAAATACCATCAGAGTAGAAACACTTCATACCTTGACCTGCTTTTCACTGTTAACCAACCATCAGCTCCCTTAACATCTTCATTATGCAGTGTTTCTGAAGAACTGGCAATACTGTTAGTAGACGCTGCTGTCAATGGCAACCCTGAACCCCTTTCTTGATTAACCAGCGTTTCCGAAGAGTTGTATTCATCCAAAGACAGCGACTTTGGCATGTGTTCTTTGTGCAATGTAGTCTTGCTTTTGTATAATGGTGGCCTATTCTGCTGTTTAACAGCTGCTCTCTGAGATGGTAGTTGTTTTGATGTACGGTTTGTAGTGGTTTTCATGTCAGTTACGGTCCTGCTGCGAGCCAATGTGTTTTTTTCTATAGGTTTGCAAGTGGTGCTGGTTGTTGGTCTCAGTGATGAAAATGGTTTGACAGGACGCTTGGATAAGGTGCTGGAGCGGTCTGATGGTGCTTTCACACCTACAAAGTTGAATCTATGTTAAGGTCCATCTACAGAAAGTTTAGTTCTGTAGTTGAGAGATAAACATTCCAGTTTGACAGAGCTACCAAAACTAAGTTAAACTATACTGACTATCGTATAATACTGATTGGATTGACGCCAGTATTGTATCTGAAAGCAATTCTTTGAAAGACCTATTTTGGTTATCAAAAAACATAAATAGTCCAGAGATAAATGAGAGATATAAGGAATCAAAAAAAAGTATATGCGTCAAAACTTCATCAGAAGAAGCAGGAATTCGTTCAGAGAAAAACCGACTTTTGGAGTATTATAAAAGATAGATTAGGTAAACCGAAAAAGCAGGGAGATGCGGCACAATTAATCTTGAATAATAGCATAATCAGTTATCCTCAAAAAGCCGCAAATATCTTTGGGGATTATTTTGCAAAAATTGCTGAGGATATGCTAATATCCACATACGATACTTTAGAGAGCCATTGTTCTATACAAAACAGTCTAAGATCATTGCTCTTTAACGATATTGTTCCATTAAAGTTACTATCAGTTGTGAATGACTTCAAAAACGAACCATCGGGCGGCCCAGATGGCATACCAATTAAGGTGATAAAGTCTTTGGCTGACTACCTTATATACCCATTATCTTATATATGTATTTAAGCTTTCTATCAGTACAGGAACATTTCCGGATAGCATCAAGCTAGCAACCATAATTCATGTTTATAAAAAGGGAGACCGAGGGTTACTTGATAATTATAGGGCAATAATGCTAATAACTTAAAAACTAAAGCCGTTCGATCTTACGAACCGACGTACATTCTCGACTTGGGCTCTAGAAATGTTGCAAGAAAATTACCAATTTCATCGCAAAATCATCTTCAGTGATGAGGCGCATTTTTGACTAAACGGCTTGGTCAATAAACCGAATATGCGTTATTGGTCAGGTGAAAACCCTGGTTCAAGAAACACCACTTCATCCACAAACAATAACTGTATGGTGTGGTTTTCATGACGGTGGTGTCATTGGGCCGTTTTTTCGTTGATGAAAATGACCGTCACGTTACAATCAACGGAGATCGCTACAGAGACATGTTGCAACGTTATTTTTTGATCAATTGGATGGGCTAGACATTAATGATATGTGGTTTCAACAAGACGGTGCCACAAATCACACAGCGGATGAAGCAATCGAAATATTGAAATCAAGATTCGGTGAACGTGTTATATCGAAAAATGGTTCTATCAAATAGCCGCCTAGTTCGTGTGATTTAACACCTCTAGACTTTTTGTTGTGTAACTACATTGAACCATTGGACTATGCCAACAAGCTGACGTCGATAGAGGAACTCAGAGCCAATATTGAACGAGAGATAGTGGCCGTTTCTGTCGAAATGTGCGCCCGTGGTGGACTTATGAACGAGGTCGAATTCCATACATGAATGTTTTGAATATACATCAATCCAATAATAAAATTTTCGAGACATCTCAAATGGTTTGCGATTTATTTAAAAAGAAACTTGTCAAGTCCTTAATGGAAAACCCTATACTACTTATATATGCAAAATATTCGCATGAGCTTTGTGAATGCGAATATCAAGAATGCTGTCAATATTCGCAAATGCAAATAATCATTACATACCTACTTTGCATTATATACTTGTGCTACTTACTTGTAGTTTCAACTTTAGGCTTAGGAGGAACAATCTTAGCAGAAGCACTTTTTGTGAGTGCCATTGAATAAGGGGGCCTAGTTGACACAGGTTTGTTAGATTTACTCTCCACTTTGAGATTCTTTGGAGGAGCTTGCTTTTTTTCAACCTCAGCTTCTTCTGTCTGACACTCTTGGTGAACTTTTACAACATTGGATTTCTTTGGTGGTAGCTTGGGAAAATCTTCTTCAGTAGAAGTACTTTTTTCAGCACTCTGAACACCAACTTTTCTCACAATATCATACGTCTTTTGATCCTCACTTGGAGAATCAATATGTTTATCTTCTGAATTGGAAGTATTATTCAATGGAAGATCCAACATATCTTTCTTCAATTTCATCTCATCTAAACTTTGGAGTGTTGTTTCAGTTGCCATAATCTGATCCCCTTTTTCATCTGGTTTACTTTTTACTACTTTGCACAGCTTATTTGACTCAGTAGACTTGGTTTTGTTAATTTTGTCTGATTTTACTGCTGTTGACAAAGACCTAGATGGCTTTTGAGAAGTTTTGAGCTTAGTATCAATTTTAGCAGACTCCATCCTTTTCTTTAGATCTGGCCTTCTCAAAATCTTCACATCAGGCTTTGTCTGCATAGAAGAATCTGTCAACTTAACATCTGTCTTCACTTTCTCTTCAATCTTCTTAGGTCTTTGAATTTCTACATTTTGAGTTTTGATATCAGATTTTGTGTCTGACACTGCTGTATCTGCCTTTTCTGTTTCTTCTGACGTTTGAACTGTATTCTGTTGTAGCTGATTTTGAACATTTTCCTCTTTATCCACATTTTCAGGCTTCATTGATTCTGTCTCTTTTACCATGCCTGCCTCAATAGGTTTTGCACTATCTACTTTTGATGTTGAAATTTCGATTTCTTGTGCATTTATAGAGGTATCTGGCATAATTGTATTTTCAGTTTCATCAGCTGATAACAATGTATATTCAGTTTGGTCCTCTCTTTTTGTTGTGTTGTGTGAATTCTCTGTCACACTTGTCTCATTTTTCTTTCCACAACTACTGCACAAGTTCTGACCTTTTGCAGTAGCGGAAATGTTCTCTAAAGGTTTTCCTTCTAAAATTGGTTGGTCTATACCTGGTAGCGGACTTGTAGGACATGAATTGGGCATGCTTCTGCCCTGTAAGATCCTAGGACTCATTTTACCAGAAATACTGGGACTGGTTCTACCAGACCCAAATACAGGGCTGGACTTTCCAGATCTGTTTGATTTCAGATTGGTCAGATTAGTTTTGCAAATATCCCAAGCTAAAGAGGTTGGTCTTTGGAAAAGAGGAGTGTTCTCATAGTCCCATTTTAAACGAAACCAGTCTGCCAAAGCATTGAAGTCGCGTAGGTAGTTTTCAAGCACCAATAAGACTTCCTGGCATTCTGTGATGCTCTCGTGTGTTTCTACTGTGTTATAAATTTCTGTTATCTGAAAAACAAGACTGAATTTACTCAACAATGTTAGCAAGAAATATCATCCAAAAAGTTTTCTTAAAAGGGCGTATTTATATTGGAATAGACTAAGCTAAACTGTGAGTAAAATACTAAGGAAGGTTTTTTGATAGGTTCATATATGCCATTTTGTGTGGGGTATGAGATTTATCAAATGTCTGTCATAGTTTTTCATAGTAGCAAAAATTCAAGACGATTTTGTTTTCTGGAGTTACTCATCATTACATACCTTATTCAGAACTCTTCTCTTTAAATTGCTGATAATTAACTGTCAACATCTTATTTGGTAGCCTACCCAGGGTTTGATTTCAAAATTCAGTTTAACTCAATATTTCTTTGATTGAATAGAGATTGGCATTATAACTTTATCTTAATATTTTCTTTTCTCTTCAATAAATCACAAAGTCATTAAAATCTATGTCATTCTTTACTTCACACATGTAGCTGATCAATATTTGTGTCTGTAAGACTATAATAGCCTTGTGTGATTGCAGCTGTTGTGCATAGTTCAACCTAACAGAGGAAACCTCCCAAATAAAGGGTAAGTTCCAATATTAAAAAATTTACTCTGCCAGATTCTGAGTGAACCTATTTTCCATGAGTATGTTGAATTGCTGATAATTTATATGAGGTGTAGAAATAATAACATTCCAACCAAGCCATTCCATCTTGAACAATGCTAATCAACATTAGGTATGTTACATATCACATGCTTAGTATCTACTATGATCTGTACCATCAGAATTTACTAATCATTAGGTCACTGTCAGTGGATTTCTTCATAATCATAAGTCCTGGATACACCATCAATAAATATCACATTCTGTGATAAATGCTGATGGACCACAGCAAATACTGATCATATGACATTTGCCTTTGTAAGGCCATTACTATCAACTGTGAATTTTATCAATGTGAACAACATATGATTATAACAACATGGAGCTACATGCCAATCAGCAAATATCCATAATAAATAATCTGTATGAACACATGGAGAGTACAGATAACTCAGAGATGCGAATTGTCCACCAAAATCATTTGGTTTGACCCCTTCTGATATTTCCTAGGGTCTTAAGAAGTGTTAAATCCATGCTAAGCCACTGCTCAAATCCACACAGATCTATGCGGCAGTTATTGAAATTTTGACTTCTCAGCTACTATGTGTAGCCAAGTTAGACATTTGAAGATATCATATTGCATAATTGGCCTTTCAAATAAAGAGATAATGTTATCAATAACCCACACAAAGCTTGTTTTATTCAATTCTAATGTTCAGGCATCAGATCACTCAAGCTATTAAAAGCAAGATAGGAGGTCGTAGAATATCTTAGTCTCTCTATCAATAAGTGTTGATTCATAAACAAAACAGATTCCATTATGAATGTGTGATGAATAAAGTTACATTTTGTTCGTTAATCTAGATATTTATAGATACTTATCCAGAATCAACCTGATGAATCCAATGTCAACAAAAAATGTGAAAGTTTTATTAGTAATTATGCCAACAGTGTTAACATAAGGTTATTCTAATAATCATGTGACATTTTAATGTCACATGAAATAAGTAAACAGATCAACCAACTGTGCCATGTGTAGAGATTAGCCTTCATAGGGGAAATTACACACTGTGCAAACTGATGTTCAGCTCAGCTACTCCTTCATACATGAATTCTAATCAACTTAGCAAAAACTGTCAATATTGTCCACTAATCTAGTCCATCTTAACACTATGGGCCCATTATGCTATATGAACCCAGGGCTCTGGCTTGATGAGTACCCCCTGCTCTAGCCTGAGGCTCCTCCAACCGCAAGCCCTGAACATGCTGTATTCTCAGGAGATTCTACATAACTTAAGATGACCCTGCTACTAATAGTTTTTTCAGACATTGCTATTTTATATTATGGCAGTTCTTTATGGGCAATATTTTTCTAGCATGCCTATACTTTTTGACATTTCTGATCTATTTTCATGTAGATAGTAATGTAATCTGCCACAATGCATAGAATTCCATCCATCATTCTTTCCTGATTATGTAGTCCTTTTGATTATAAATTCTGACCAGGTATGTGTCTACACATTGCAAACAATATTGCCAAGATATAGTTGAGGCATAGCTGATATATCCAAGATATATGGTCAGGCTACAAATACTGCTCTACTACAAGATCAACAAAAGGAAACTGAAATGGCACGCCCATTATGACGGGGGTTGTCACACTGACCATGTAAAGCAGAGATAAGAAATTTTCATTGTTGGCAAGACAAAATTAAAGAACATTCGTCAGTTAGTTTAGAAAACACAGATGCAGATTGCACATGCATGTGTGAGGGAGAAAGATGTATGAAAGTGATATTTTTACTGTGACCTGCCAAATACCTTAAAACGAACTATAATTATTGCAAATATACATCATTTATCTTTAATCATAAATTACACAATTAAATTATAATCAGATTTTATATTTCACACTTACAGATCTTTGAAGGTTGCCAAACAACAATGCCCAATACCTAGCTCTAAGCTCTGATCTTTTGTCTCTACCTGTAGAGGCCGACCTCACCCTAGCTCTAGCTCTTGAGCGTATATTACTAGGTGTTGTGTCTTGTGCAGTCTCCAAAGCTCTGGGAGAGCAAGGCGGTTTTCTGGACACTTGACCTAAAATACCATTGAATGGAAATTCATGAAGGGGATGCCATAAATGCCAGACAATGACCTACCCCTGTAATTTTCGTTTTCCATTGAAATGTTGAAGGCCAGTAAATTACGGGCTTCACGTCCTTGTTCTTGCACTAAAAGTCGAACTTGCTCCATTTTATTTCTCCAGAAACCATTTAATTATGTTTAAAAAACTGTTATAGCACACCTTATTAGTTTGAAATCTATGAGATAAAAAAGATATTTGAATTTTTTGACTTCTTGTTTTCTTGATGTTTTCATTTCACGGAACATTTATCGCCTTAAAATTCGTTGACGTTGACAGCTGACTTTTACCACAGAACTATTAAAGCACAGAGTACCCAACGGAAGATGGCATTTTCTACGGTAGACTCTCGCAGACAATCCACTTCATCTTGCAATCTATAGAAGCTGGTAACACAGTGGCGGCACATGAGGGTGTATATTGGATTCAAACGATTATATCGTAATTATGGTTAATCGCATTTTTATAGATAATTCATAAAAAGATTGCTTAACGAGGACGTTCATGATTTTCATTACGAATATTTAAAAAAACGTGAAAGTCCCTGAATAGTGGTTTAAACCCCCACACAAATTGTGTCGACGAATCTATCTCAGAAAACAATTTTGTACATTCAGATTTCCGTACCTAGGTACTCATTCGTCTTCCTATCAAATTCACATCATTTGCATGGCCTAATTTTCAAGACTTTATAATGTTGATGTACCATACAGAAGAATTTATTTCTCCTCAGCGCGTCCTTTTTTGTGCCCATGATGTCCAAACAGTCAGTAAGTAAAATAGACTTTCATCAGATGTACCGACTGCCGACGCATCTACGTCAGCGAAAAAAACATTCCTCAAAGGGAAGGTAGAGAAGAACTCTCTGAGCCTCTCCCAGCAAGCATGTCCGTGATGCCAAATTTTGCGGCCTGGGCGAGTTTCTGCTGCCACAGCAGGTTCTGACCGAAATCTAACCTCCACAACACAGTGATCTGAGTTACCCAGGGGAGACAGGACAGCAGTGCTGTAAGGGATAGGATGCGTGGTTAGAAAGAGATCCAGCTGGCTATTGGCGTGTGATGAAATGCGAGGAAAAAAGTAGGGCTCGTCAGCTGGGTTAGTCCTAGCTCATTAAGGGCATTGAAATCACCGAAGATTAAATCAGACTCCATCTTTATTTTAAAGAAAATATGTACCGCATTCGGAGATGATGCCGTTAGTGATCGAATAGCACAGAAGTGGTTCAAAAAAAATTTTCTTCGGAAGATCTCAGTTGGAGCGATGAACCGCGCTCAGGGAGAGCAAACATCATGAACAACGAGGATCTTCTACAGGTTGTGGACGCAAATTCCAGTACAACATGCCAAGAACTTGCAGAAATGTTCAGAGTGAGTCCTGAAACTATTCGTTTGCATCTTCATCAGCTAGGAAAGACGTGGAAGTTAAGCAGATGGGTCCCACATGAACTGACAAATGATAACAAATTAAGTCGTCTTACCATTTGTTCAGCAAATATTTCACGGAACGCTAATGAACCATTTCTCAGTCGGTTATTAACCTGCGATGAAAAATAGATCTCGTATTCGAATTATAAGCGTTCGTATCATTGGTTGTCGCCTACTGATTCGGTACCACACGCGCCCAAGGTTTCCTTGCACCCAAAGAAGGTTTTGTTGTGTGTTTGGTGGATAGCAACTAGAACTGTCCATTATGAGTTTTTGGAAAGGGGTCAAACCATCACTGCTAACTTGTATTGTGAGCAGTTTCAACGAGTACAAGCAGCACTCATCCAGAAACAGTTTCTTTGATCAATCGGAAGAAAGTGATATTCTTGCAGGATAACGCCAAGCCTCATACCGCAAAAGTGACCCGAGAAAAAATTTCTGAACTGCACCCGCCATATTCTCCTGACATTTCGCCCAGTGATTATCATCTTTTTTGTCTCTTGACAACTGTATGAGACACCGACAGTTCACAACTCGAGATGGTGTAATAAATGCAGTCCGCCAATTTTTGTACTCCATATCCAGGAAGTTCTACAATACCGGCATACAAAAATTGGTTCCACGTTGGCAAAAGGCCATTGAATGTGAATGTGTCTTATTGTTTCTCAATAAAATAAAATGTGGTTCATCACTCATAAACAACGTTATGTCATTGTTATCCAGCTGTTCAATCATGAGCTGTACAAAATTAACACGTTGTGTATAATCCCCTGGCAACAGTTGTTGACAAACTTGGATTTTGTAAGGATGAACAATAAATCCTTCTTCAAGATGCGACTTATGGAACTGGCACACGAACGGACGGAACGATTTGGGCTTTGCCGCGTATCAACTCTCACTCTGTCTACGTTTTCGGTGGTTCTAACAAAAAGGTTTCACCCTGGCGGTTTTTTCTTCGTCACATTACCTGTTGTGTTGAATGCTTCCACCCATCTCAAAATGGTGTTACAGTCTGGTACGAGGGATGTCTTTTAAGTTTTGCATATGGAAATAAAACAACACGGTAGGTAGTTTTAAATGACTTTATTGTCTTTCGAAGTATTCTCCACAAAGATTAATACACATCTGCATGCGCTGGAACCAATTTTCGAAGCACTTATTCCCCACGTTTGCTGGCAGATCCAAAACAGCATTTTGAATGCGTCAACTGCTTCTTCTGGTGACTGGAACCTTTGACCACGCGGTCTGTTTTTAATTTTCGGGAAAGTAAAGAAATCGTTAGGACTTAGATCGGAACTATATGGAGGGTGGTCCAATAATTCCACGTTTTCTTCCGTTAAATACTGACTTGTTTTTTGGGCTGTGTGCGAGCTTGCATTGTCTTGGTGGAGGATGATTCTTCTTTCGGGGTTGATTTTTCGAAGCTCGGTGATGACTTTTGGCAAACAAATGGTGGTATACCAATCCGCATTAATAGTTCTTTGCTCATTAAGAGGAATTGTTGCAATATGACCCGCTTTTGACACAAATGTCGCGACCACCTTTTTCGAAACACTTCGAGAACGGATGACTTTTGTTGGCTTTTCTTCACCTTGGAACACACAAACAACCGACTGTCGTTTATTTTATGGTTCATAACAGTAAATCCACGATTTATCACCACTAACAATGCTGTATACATTTTTTGAGTTTCCGGAATTGAAACGGTCAAACGTTTTTTGACACCAATTGACCCTGCTTTCTGCTCTTCAGTCAACAGGTGGGGTATCCAACGAGAAACTAATTTTCTTACTCCTAATTCTGCATGTAAAATTGTTTGAATTGAGGTCTTTGAGATCTTCAAGGACGCCTGAATCTCGGGATCTGTCACATGTCTATCTTCAATGATGAGTTTGCGCACAGTATCGACGTTTTCCTGGGTGACTGCCGTTTTTGGTGCACCCACCCTGGGATCGTCGCTAAGACTCACCCGTCCACGTTTGAATTCTCCATACCAATGGGAAATTGTCGACTGATGTGGCGCTTCGTTGCCGAAAACAGACAGTAACGCAGCAAGGCATTCTTGTTGCGATAATTGTCTCTGAAAGTTGTAATAAATTATGGCGCGAAAATATTCTCGGTTGAGTTCCATTTTTCTAATGACTTGGTTAAAAATTCACTGTTGTGAGAACACTGCTCGTATCGTTGTGAAACTTTGAATTTAAGTTTACTAAAGAGTGAGGTTAAGATTCAGTACCGTTCGATCCGCGCGGCCTACTAAGTTTCTATATGCAAAATTTAAAAGACATCCCTCGTACTGTCCCACGACGTGGAACACGAAAGTGAACGCGAAACTCACGTTGCGTTCGAACGACAGACTCGCCATTTTGAAAGTACCGACGTACAGTGAACACACGATACTCAACGTTCCAAACCATCTTACCAACTGAAACGGCACTTCTCCCACTATCCAACACGCCCTTCCCCACCGACACGGGACCAGCCCACTCGATGTAGTACCCATTCGAAAAACATGCGTTCTTCTGACGGACCCTGTATATTCTGATGGAATACGTTGAGAAAATAAAAAGCGTATAATATTCTCAAAATACTTTAATACAATATATTCTGTTGAAGCTGCCATTAACAGTAGTTAAAAGTACACATTTTGCATATTTTTTACATGTGTTCTCGTTTGAACAGTTGCTGCAAAACTAAACACCTAGAATACGATATCCCATAGTCAATTTGAAGCAGAATGTACATGTTGAAAAAAGCAAAAACAAAATAACATTTATTTTTTTGTGCATAGTATATTTTTATTTTTTATTTGCTAAATTGATAAACAGTGCAACAAACTAAACACAGGATATCACAAATGGTTCACTCAAAATAAAGCTGTCCCTTTCGATCTTTTACAGTACTGCAAAATGAAAACAACGTAGGCGATTTTTTTCTTCATATGTGTAACCAAATATCTTTTTGTCATCTTGTTCCTATATAGTGGATATAATATAAATATTTATAGTTGCTACACTCTACACAACTTGCTTTCATTAGTTCTGCTTAGGATCAGCCGCAACACATCAAGCAATACAATGGTACGTAGGTTTGCAATATAAGCATTTAAAGGAATTCCCAGTAGTTGAAAAGTTGAGGAGATGTCTCATTCTGAACGAACCATCTAAATAACAATAACAAAAATATACAAACAGTATAATCATTTTAAGTAACCGTCTAAGTTACATGAAAACAATTTGTACTCATTCGTACTATAGATGCATATTCGGATATACATTATATTTGTCATAGGTAAAATACTGATTAAAAAAAATAGTTGCTGTTGTGCTATATAGTAGAATTTGTTGAGGCACCAATTTTGCAGAAATCTGCAGATGACAACTTCTAAGACTGTACAATACTGATACTGGAATGTTATAAAAAATACTTAAAAGAAAAACGTGTTATCCAAGAACTTACGAATGCTTATACAAATTTATAAACAAGTCTTTGATACAACATTTCTCCTTGTAAGTTTAAACTATAAATACTTAAAATATTAGTAAAAAATAATCTCAACAAAAGAAAATAAATATATCAGATCGACAGTTTTGAATTATTTTCATCCAGCCCATAAAAAACAATTCATTTTGCACGTCAATCAAATTGCACAAAACATAAGAGACTGCAAATTGTTGGAATTTTTTGTGTACGTTCTTCAGAAGGCAGTTTTTCCATTTTGTTAAGTAATTTTAAAAAATGACTCGGATAATATTTTGCATACATCAACTGATATATTTATATATTTATAGATGGACAAATTTAATACTTTCCAAATGTACCGCCGATTTATGGAATTATTTTCTACAAAAATTTGGATAAATAATTTCACAAATCCTTCAGGTCCGCTCTTCTTGTTCGGAGTACTTCCAAAATAAAAAGAAATTAGTGGGGCTCATCTAACACAATAAATAAAAAATAAATATGCAAGGAAAGCGGACTAGTTATGGGGCCCAATTCTTTAAATCGTTTGTTGTTCTACAACATAAACAAAAATTTCAGAAAAATGTACATAGTGTCCAAAAGTATGTAAGCGACAGGAGTAACTCTATTTTTATATAGTGCCTTATGGTTACATTGAATGTGGAGACATAATTTTACATCTCAAGTGACTTCAATGCATTCATGTTAATTTGTAAAATAAAGAAGACAATTCGAAGAACTGGACCCAAAAAATTAGGCGGGCAAATTTGCAAATTCTGTCAAAATACCTAAAATTAATACAATAATCGCCTATTATTGGTGATTTGAAACGACTAGAATCATAGGACAACGGGCGTCGATACAAACATTCACTTTGACAAGTATTCGATCATCTTTTCCAGTTTTGGCATTTCTTCTACCATCAGCAAACTCTCGACGCACCCTTTGAAGAATTTGGTTGAGAAGCACTCCGACCTATACATAACACAAAAAAATATATAAATTTGGTGCTGACAAAATAATCTTATCTCCAGAAGAAAACTTACACCATAAATACGAGATACAGTGATATCCAGAATATGCAGGGTGATTAAATAAACAGCGACAATATTTCTACGTCAGGAAGTACATCCAAACATAACATGAAAAATTCATATAAAATGCCCCCTGCCGAGACATACATGATCAAGTTATAACATCAAAATGAAGAAAATAGGTATGTGTTCGGAGTAGGTATTTTACTAGAGTTTTTGTGGCCGGGACTACACCTGCAGGTGGTAGCAAGTTTTCTCAAGGGTCGCAATTGTTAAAGATTCCCAAAATTGTAAGCAAAATTATGCTAAATTTGCAAATTTTATCGGAGTGCACGTCCCTCTACCCCCCTGGTGAGCGCACATGGTTTTGTCCTTATTCAGTCTCATCATTGGGGATGAATTTCTAACGCCCTGTCGCTTGGAATAGACATTTTAGGATATATGTTTATCGGAACTTTTTATGTTACTCTTTGATATATTTTCGTTGTTTTTTAATTCAGCCTGTATAGGCAACCTGTCGAATTTAAATAGATAACAAAATATAATCCCTTCCAATGAAAAAACGTCCTCTAGAAATACAAGCCCCTAAATGACGACGATGGAATAAAAGCGATTTTCTCAAAAAGACTATTTAATTCAATGCCAAACAGGAGTATGTATCTTTTTAAGCAGAGGATCTGGCTATCCAAAATATCTGTTTTGAACCATTGTTATACAAAAATTACTAACTCTGCATCCCTGATGACCCAAAAGTGTCACTAAATTGAACTGCGACTTTTTTATAATAACTAAACAAATTATTTTTTGCAATCTCACTCAAAATCCAAAGCATTTCCCTCATGATCTGGATATAATTTTTATGTGGAAGTTCCTTCTGAAATATTTTATGAAACAAACTGTACCTGTATCTGTCTCTTTCATGTAGAAATTTCTCAAATGGAACAGGTACAATTTTGATGTGAATTAAAATATATATTAAACAACTACTTTCTACAAAGTAAAAACATATGGTGATCTTTTAATGGTTATCAAAAATAAGGTATTGAAATATATTCTATTAAGCCCAAGCTATCTACGTGTACATGACAAGTTAAAAGAATGGGAGCACAAATTCTATTTCTGAAAATGAACTGATGATTAAGAAAATTTGTTACTGTATCAAAATTGTGTTAACATTAATGCATAGATATATCTTTGGATAATTGTTCCAATAAAGATGTTCTCTAGATAAAAGCCTCCGAGTATAATATCTATAATTTTAATCGAGGACTATTTTTAAGAGAATGTATATCCTGGATAGAATCCAGACAGGAAATTTATACACACAAAGAAACAGATCCAAGCTGATGTGAAAGTTGGACGTATATACCGGGTGCTTCAAAGTCTGATATCACCATTGACATCTCTCGTAAATGGAGGCAGATTTGTGTTGGAAGTAAGGAACATTTAGAACATGCGGAAATTGATATTTCCGAAGGTATATATGTAGAAAAAATATAATATAAGATAAAGAAATTTTCTCAAAATCGTCTTTATTTGGGATAGAATTTCAAAATTGTATATCGCTTTTTCTCATGTACATAGTGACAAGATTTTGAATCTGACAATTTACTTCTTGTCTTTATTTTTCTTTTGACACCTCATTGGAATTTTGCATAGTTAAATCAATTTATGTCGCATTATACATGACTAGAGTCAGTACTGAAAACTCTAGATGCAAAACTCTAGTACGACGTTCATAAGAGAAGGCATGTCATTTTGTAAATGATAAAATGCGCCAATGTTAATCTGTAGACTATTTTGATACCGCATCTCAAACCAAGTCAGGAACAAGTATAGACCTGATTAGGGATATTGTTTTTTTCGTCTATTTCCGAAATCATTCCGATTTTGAATCTTTCTCAGTGATGTTTTCTTAGTTACACAAATGCTCGAATTTACCCGACATCGTACCTGTTTTATCGTTTCCAAGATCCTGATGGTGACAGCTGAATTTGAAACACCCAGTATATTCAAGAAAATATTATGTTATGGCTATCCCCTATCAACATGAACATAATGTTTTCTCAAGTCTGATTTATATGTTAGTCGTGTTTATTTTTATGAAGTATATTTTTAAATTAATCCATATTTAAGTTCCCATTTATTGTTCTAGCTGAAGTGTGTTTATTTTCATTTTCGCTTTTTCGCGCAATTTCAAAAATATACTTCAGAGGAATTATCATAAAATACGTGATATACAGCATGCAAAGGGTTGCTGTGGTACCTGTAGAGGTGATAAAACCAGTTTAGTAGAAAACGTATAATTATAGCAGCATGCAGATATCCACAAATATTGTTAGTACGAATCCTGTGTGGAAAAATCGTTTCAAAAAGTAACCTGGTCAAAAATCAAAAAGAGGGAATACAAGAGTCCATTCTTGTACTTTCCGGATGAGGTTATACAGTGGTTTTCAGAAAGCCCCCTACTTATTTTTTGAACAAGTGAAGTTCGGGAGCTGAAACTCGGGATGGTGAAATTGACTATGTAAAAAGAACAGCTGAACATTTCAAGATGCTGTCTGGGGTAATCTTTTGAAGCTCCTTATAAGTAATTTTTAACGTTAGAATTTCAAGTCGCTATCTTTCAAAATGGCGGACGGCTGTCAAATAATCATCAAAATTTATGTTATGTCAATCTTTTTCTTTCTTTTTTAACTACTATACTACTATGTAGTACTTATGAGGAGCCTCAAAACTGGGTGAAAATATTCCAAAATGGCGCCTAGCCGCCATCTTGGAATTTTCAACTGCCACTTGTACGCTAAAACTTAGTATTCATGCATTAATCTCGTTACTCCGAATTTCAGTTTTCTAACTTGATTCATTCGGAAAATAAGTACAAGATTTTTTTTTGAAAAACACTGAAGATGCAACATAGAAGCATAGAACATGCACAAATTTAACAAAGACCGCAGTTTGAATCGCGTGTTCATACAATCTGTGAAATATTGTACTGTAGACGCAGAAAAAATCAAAATTATCTCCAAAATGATATCAGTGAGTGCGAGAAAAATATTGTAGACCAGTCATTCCATGATCCTACACTACTTTAAGATATCGTCATAAATAAAGTGTTATGGATACAAAGAAAATGGAAGAACGTTTGTTTTTTACATGACTTGTAAAAATGTTTTGATCTGTTGTATTTTGATCAATAGTGTTTCTCGCATCCACCTTATCATTATCCTAGGAAAATATATGTTTCAAAAAGTGTCAAAAATATGCGTACGCTTTTCAGTATAATGCAAAAACTTTGTACACTTTCAAAATGTCTCTCTGGCATAATACGTCCATGAAGCCACGTCTTTTAGTGGTTATTTATGCCATAAAACGGAAAATTATACTGTACACAAAAATACCGTCATAAGGTACGTGTACTCAAAAATCTACGTCACGGTTCTATGTATATTAAGAATGAAAATGCACTACAAATGTTAATAATATGTAGTTAGATATATGTAAGTATTGTTCTAAAAATAAGTTAGTATGTTAGATGTTACGACTGAATAGTTTTTTCGTGCATCAATTTGAAAGTGTACCTAGACCCCAGGATCTGCACCATGTAACTGTTTTATCATGGCCTGAATTTGATCCGTTTCGTCTGACAATTGCAGAGTGTCTACACACCCTTTGAAGTAATCTGACGTAAAACAGTTTTTCCTGGAAGAGAAATCATTTGATAAAGATACATACATACATAATGTTTAGAAAATAGTCTCGGTTACAACGTAAAACACCTAGAACTACAAACAACTGTATTAAAATCAGTAATAGTAATATTCAAATAAACGTACAATTTAGCTTTGGCACAATCAACGGAATAGACACGATCGTACTTCTACACATTTCGTAAAAGCTAGCTCATTAGATGGCAAATGTTTTCGAATATTTTGACCACAATGTAACGGGTGATTTTTTAAGAGGTATAGGATTTGATTTTCAAAAAAAAACACAAAAAATTTGAAAAAACGATTAAATCTTTATTTGAGTCGATAGAACGGTCGATATAATTTAAGTTTAAAGATTATTTCATGTAATAATGTTGGCCGCGGCTCCGCTTTAGATGGCACATGCACAAGGTCCAATTTTGGCACACTCTCTCCAACATAACGGCCGGTATCTCACGAATAAATGCTTCAATATTGGCTTCCAGTTCGTCAATCGTTGCTGGTTTCTCCCTGTAAACATTAGCCTTAACATGGCCCCACACGAAATAGTCCAACGGCGTTAAATCACACGATCTGACGGGCCCCAAACGTTAGATAAACTGTTCACCGAACTCGCCTCTCAATAGGGCCATTGTTTCGTGTGCGGTGTGGCCTGTGGTACCGTCTTGTTGAAACCACATGTCAGCCAAGTCCAGCAATTCCATTTTGGGCAAAAAAAAGTTTGTTATCATCGCACGGTAGCGCTCGCCATTCACAGTTAAGTTCCGGCCATTGTCGTCTTTGAAGTACGGCCCGATGATGCCACCGGCCCATAATCCACACCAAACAGTGATTTTTTCGAGATGCATTGGTAGCTCTTGCAATGCTTCTGGCTGGTCTTCACTCCAGATGCGGCAATTTTGCTTGTTATCGTACCCATTCAACCAGAAATGAGCTTCGTCGCTGAACACAATTTTTCGATAAAAATGTGGATCTTCCTCCAACTTTGCCAGCGCCCATTCACCGAATTGGAAACGTTGTGGGAGGTCGTGTGGCTTCAATTCTTGCACCAGCTGTATCTTATAAGGTTTTACACCCAAATCCTGTCGCAAAATTTTCCACGTAGTGGAGTAACAGAGGCCCAATTGCTGCGAACGGCGGCGAATCGATAGTTCACGGTCATCACTAACACTGGCGGATACAGCCGCAATATTTTCTTCAGTCCTCACTCTACGTCTGCGTGTTGGTGGTTTAATGTCCAATAATGTAAACTGGGTTCGAAATTTAGTCACAAGCTTCCGAATAGCTCCCTCAGTAGGCCGACCAAATTGCCCATAAATTGGAAGCAGTGCTCGATGCACTCTCTTAACCGAGCATGAATTTTGATAGTAAAATTCAATAATTTGCAAGCGTTGTTCGTTCATAAGTCGATTCATGGTTAAATTATAGACCAAACTGAACAAGTTTGACAATGACACAAGACACGATTCGATCATGCCAGTATTTCTGTAATAATATAAAAATAATAATGATACATTTGGAGGTAGTTTTTAGAAAAGAGAAAATATAAAAACAATACACTTTATCGGCTAATATTTAATATCGAAGAAACGCCTTCTATACATGCAGTTATTGAAGATTGTTTCTTTCAAATGTGGGCTATTACTGAGGTCAATATGTTCCATTTTAGAATTCCAATTTATCATGGTGAGTTCAAGCATTTTGGCCGCGTAGATCGCGTAATGTAAAACATCTAGACTTTTGCCTTTAGGGTATACCTACTCGGATAAAAGAGTACGATTGAGGAATTAAAACTCATCATTACTCGCATTATTCGAATTCCATATACGATCACGTCGCCAGCAGTAACGGAATTTACTTGAAAACATAATATTCAATAAACGAAAATCATCGATTCTTCTTTTATTTAGTAATAAAGATCTGCCTCAGTTGAATGTCTTTATTTTATTATGCCTTTGAAAAAGGCGTCTGTTAATGAATCGCCAGAAGTTCTAGATTGAACTTGATTTCTCTCAAAGTTGCGGACCTTCCTTTCTCGAACCGAAATTGCTTTAGTATTAAACGTCTAAACAAAAATTAGATCAAAAAATATAATAGAAACAGAATAGAGTCCTTTTCTTTAATTTTTGCCTTCTTTCATCCCATTGTCTGGATCATGCTCATCCAAATTATATATATACAGGGTTTGTCCGGAAAGTAATAGGACTCATTTTCTTCCGCCATGACTGTACTTCGCAGCGTGCGCGTACCGACTGGATTCGGCAGAGGGCGCTCCTAGCTAACGAATGAGCGGCTGGTCACTTGGTCAGTTGTCTCCGAGCACTTGGAGAGTCAGGACAGGCATTTTCGCGCGACGTGTTTCTGTGAATGGTGCAAGCCCAAAAAGCAGCGTCGTTAGAGCAGAGGTACGCGATTAAAGTCTGTGTGAAACTCGGTAAATCTGCGACAGAGACGTTTGATGTGATCAAGCAGGCTTACCAAGGTGTTGCTTTAGCAAGAAGTAGTGTGTTTCGGTGGCACCAGACCTTTTTGGAGAACCGGGAAGAGGTCGCTGATGAAGACCGTGCTGGAAGACCTTCGACTTCGACAAACACCGATAATGTGACTCGTGTGCGCAAAGTTTTGAACTCAGACCGTCGACTAAGTATACGTTTAATTGCCCAGATGTTAAATTTACCAAAATCTGTGGTTAATGACATGCGCAAGGTGTGCGCGAAGATGGTCCCAAAAGTGCTAACTGACGACCAGAAATTGCGGCGAGTGGAAGTGTGCCAAGAAAATTTGAACATGTGTGAAAGTGACCCCCAAATTTTGAATAACGTAATCACAGGTGACGAGTCGTGAATCTTTGAGTATGGTCCCGAGACAAAGAGGCAATCTTCCGAGTGGCACACGACGGCGTCTTCTCGCCCAAAAAAGGGAAGAGTGAGCAAATCCAAAGTGAAAACGATGCTCATTGTCTTTTTTGACATCAAAGGCATCGTCCACAATGAATTTGTTCCTCCTGGACAAACCGTCAACGTCAAGTTTTACGTGGAAGTGCTCAGGAGACTCAAACGAAGGGTCAGTCGGGTCCGACAAGACATCGCAGCCGACTGGAAGTTGCACCACGACAACGCCCCGGCTCACACCGCCTTTCTTGTGAACAGCTACCAGACCAAGGTCAGCATCCCAACGCAGCCGCCCTACAGCCCAGATGTGGCCCCCCCGGACTTTTTTTTGTTTCCTCGCCTGAAAAGGCCGATGAAAGGCAAGCATTTTGAGACGACAGAGGGGATCCAAGCAGCATGCATCGCGGCTCTCAAGGCTATTCCGGAGAATGCCTTCCGTGACGCCTTCAATGCTGGCAGCGCTGCATCGACGCAGAAGGAGCCTATTTTGAAAGGTTTTAAAGAACTGTAACGATTGGCTCAATATTTTTTTTTAAATCGAGTCAGTCCTATTTCTTTCCGGACAAACCCTGTATGCCAAGTACTTAACTAACTAACTGTAGTCAAATATACATATCTGTAGAAAAAATTATTTGCTAACACATAGCGAAATTATTATTTTTAAGATTCAACGTTAAATATTTAGTTATGAACAAAAATGTGCCAAAATTTTGTTTATTTACTGTAGATCCCGAATTTATGATTTGTTATTATTTTTGCAAGTTAATACATAGACTAGCAGACTTTAAAACAACTTAATGTTCTATTCAGTCGAACGATTCTAATGTTTGAGTTAGTTGCGTAAATTAATATTTGTATTTGCTTAAGTACAACGTTTATATGATGTATTTTACACCGTATTCTGATTCTGTGCTCTAAGATGGGTAATAATATGTTAGGTATTTTATTGCAAGATTTATGTTGATTTATTTAATGACTGAACCAACTTCGTTAGTTTTATTGGCTTTTGACGTACATGATGATAATGATTTATTACATAAATGAGCCTAAAGTCCAGTTTAACTATTTTTTCATAATTTTCGCAACTAAGTATTTGTTAATCGCACACGTTTTATAAAATATGTTTTGAACGAGTAGGTGTCTGAATCAAAGAAACAAAAGAAAAAGTTTCATGACTACACAACACTTAAGCGAAAGTAATTCAATACAAATGCATTTGCAGTTCTGGGATGCCCAAAATTGGAATGAATATATATAACAAATGGCTGTTTTTTTTTAGAGGTATATAACTTTAAACTGCAATAAAACAACGATGGATTATTCGATTGACATGATTTTTTGTATTCGAAAGATAATCTTATGGCATTACATTTTAAATATGATTTCTGGTATATGACTGCCACGGATGGCTCGGATGTAGTCCAATCTGGACAATTTTCGATGACTTTTTCCAACATTTGTGGCCGTATATCGGCAATAACATGGCGAATGTTGTCTTCCAAATGGTCAAGCGTTTGTGGCTTATCCGCATAGACCAATGACTTTACATAGCCCCACAGACAATAGTCTAGCGATGTTAAATCACAAGATCTTGGAGGCCAATTCACAGGTCGAAACCGTGAAATTAGGCGGTCAACAAACGTGTCTTCAATAAATCGATTGTAGCACGAGCTGTGTGACATGTTGCGCCGTCTTGTTGGAACCACAGCTCCTCGACATCATGATTGTTCAATTCAGGAATGAAAAAGTTAGTAATCATGGCTCTATACCGATCACCATTGACTGTAACGTACTGGCCATCATCGTTTTTGAAGAAGTTCGGACCAATGATTCCACCAGCCCATAAAGCGCACCAAACCGTCATTTTTTCTGGATGTAACGGTGTTTCGACATAGACTTGAGGATTAGCTTCACTCTAAATGCGGCAGTTTTGTTTGTTGACGTAGCCATTCAACCAGAAATGCGCTTCATCGCTAAACAAAATTCGCTTATGAAAATCGGGAACAACGGCAATCTCGTTTTGGACCCATTCAAAGAATCTACGCCTTGCTTGATGTTCGTTTGGCTTCAATTCTTGCACGAGTTGGATTTTGTTAGCCCG